TAAAACAGAACTCAGATCACAAGTATCCTGGATAAAATATGCCATACTGCTTTGGACTTATTTCCCAAAGAAATTAAAATCAGAAAAGTATTTATGTACAGGGGGCAGGGTTCTCCAAAAGAACCGATATAAGGCCCAGTGACAGTTTCCCAGAGTGTGCAGGCCCCACACAAGCACCCAGGAACCATCTCCAGGTTAGGAGGTGCTGGACTAGGTCCGGGGCATTCGCCCCGCCAGGAGGAAGTGTGGAAGAAGTACCTTCAGTCCAAGCCAGTAAGCCCAAATGACAGCCACCGCATGCTTACGCCTAGCCTCCTCCTTCAAGCGTTTCAATTCCCTTCGAGCCTAGAACGTTTTAGATGGTAAATAAGAGAGACAGCCCAACGCAGACAGAACAATGACCAGAAAAAGATACCCCGCCACCCAGAAGAGCCAGCTCATGAAAAGGGATGTTGGAGTGCCAGAGGAACGCTGCGTAAACGTTTCAACCCACGGAATCAGTGACCAGCTTGGGGCGGCTGCTTGGATTTTCAGCTCCTGCTTCACAGGAGGGCAATTCGTGCAGCGCGCAAAGGAACCAACCCCCCCACCCCTTTGGCCCCGTCTTTCCCTTCTCTCCCCGCTCCTCTTTCTCCCTCTCCCCTCCCTTGTCCTCACTCTCAGTGTGCGTGACACTTAACAGCTTCGCCTGGCGTCCCTTGGCTTAGAGCACACGGGTCTGAACCTCTCTCAGTTCACTCACTAGGTCAAATGAGAAGGCAGCACTTGTGAACAAACACTCGGGAAACGGGAAGGAATCAAGGTTTCCCTGAAGTGCGAACGAAAAGACTAACAAAACTAAAAAGTTCTTTCCAGTTAAAAAAAAAAATATAAGTAGGACGTGTAAAAATTAAATTTCAGCTAAGGTCCCAAACAGGGAAACATACTAAAGACTGAAAGAAGGCAAAAAGTGAAACAACTTACAGGTTAAAAAATTACTCCCTGAGAAAAATTAGTCTTAGGCATGCTATTTTAAAAGGAAGGAACGGACATTCATTTTTCTAGACATTATAGTACCAAGTCTGGGAAATAAGCTCTCTCGGTAGAGAAATCCCAGCAATAATCATCTAAAAGTCCTTCTCCTTTGGTAAGGACATTTCCTTTAGCTGACTAAAGGAGGCACTTTGTCCCTCACAATTTTTAGAAAAGCACAAGCGAATATCTTTGGGCAAAATAAATTCTTCATGAAGGCAAAGAGTGACTTTTCTCATCTTTTCTCCCTTGTGTTGACAAGGTAGACTTCAAGACACAGGACTCTAGATATTTGTGTTGCAAACTGGAATAGACATTTTTAGCAAAGATGACCTTTGATTTTCCAAGTAACAAAAACATCTAAAAATCTTGTCCCTTGGGCTATGTGAAATGTTCACAGAGCCCGCAACTATGCCTGGGGATTAGGGAGAGTATTTCAGGAGGCTTTTGTTTCTGAAAACAAACAGCTGATGTTGAAATTCCTGGGATTCTTCGGTGGCATTTACTGCTAGCTTTGCATGAACACAGTTTTCTGTGAAATCACAGATGATCATTCTTTTCACATGAAATGTTTTGCTTAGAACAATCAATAGTTGCCACAGTAAGCCTAAAAACAGAATTTCATTCATGGATTAATTTTTTAAGGCATGCACCACCGGTATTTCATGGTCAATGCACTGCAGAAGACCAATTCAGGCCCAAATCTTAATATTCCCGGCATGCCCCACTCCATAAAGACACCTCTAAAACTCTGCCAGCATACATCAGTGGGGGCTTGGGGGGATGAAGCATGCGAGTTACTTAAGAGTTGTTCAAAGGAGCAATTACACTAGCACCTTATTAGTAAGCAATTAGTTTTGGCCTGCACATGCCTGAGTTTCCTGTGCATTCTACCACTCTCTACAGGCTTCCAGAACCTGGCTGCTACGATCATGCACTAGGGTGAGCCAGCGCCAGCTGCGGTCATGCCTCCCTCATTCGCTAGACACAGGACGGTTACTGCACAATTCCAGGACAGAGTGAAGGGATGTGTGCACCAAGTACCTTCGATCCAAGCCAGTAAGCCCAAATTACTGCAATAGCGTGTTTATCCCTAGCCTCCTCCTTCAGCCGTCTCAGCTCCCTTCGCGCCTGTGATGCACGTGAAAAGGAGTCACGGAAAAGTTTAAGGCAGGAAAGGTTACTGCTGCTTCCCAAGGGAGGAGGAAAAAGAAAGACACCAGTCACCACCAAATGGTGAAGGCCGAAGCGAGTGACGCCACCCCACACTGGAACGACAGATGAGTGAGAGACAAAGGCGTGCTCGGTCGCAGCAGCCCATGAAACGCTTCCCGCCCCCGTCAGGAGGGTGCCTGGCCCTGCCTGCAGCACGCGCGACCCCCCATGGCCCAGGGCCCTCGCGCCTACCTGCGTCCCGTGCCAGTACGCAGCAATGGTGGTGGCTGCCGCCTTGCAGCGCTTCTGATGCTTCAGCTCACGCAGTATTTTTCGAGCCTATGGGACGGCGTCACCCGAAACAGGGGAAAAAGAAAGAGAGAAAGAAAGGGAGGGAGGGAAAGGAAGGAAAGTTAGTTAATTCACAGAGCGTCCGCACCCACACACCAGCGACACATCAAGAGTTTAAAGCAAAGCAAAGCCGAAGCCGCCATCCCAGACCTGATGACAAGAAGGGCCAGGAAGACCCCTGGGGCGTGGCGATAGCCCCACACGGACAAGGACAGCACCACCTGCCCCACCTGGTCCTGCCTCTCGAGCCCAGTAATACGGCCAGGGAAGCGCGGGAGGCACAAGTTTCCTGTACTCTACGTGCTCGCAGACCCTGCACCGGTTGGCTCCTAGAAACAGCTCCACCCATGCCTGACTCCTGACTCGCGCTGACCCCTCTGGAAGGGCTCCAGGCCTGCACGCAACCTGAAACGTCCCCTGTGGATTCACACCACGCCACAGAATCTCCCCTTGACAAAGTGTGCAGAGAGAACCGAGCGGGCTCCATAAGCTTTTTCTGCAAGGAGCCAGGCGGAAATGTGTTTGGCTCTGCAGGCCCCATGGCCACGATCAACACCGCCTGCCTCTGCCACTGCAGCACTTTGTGAAACAGACAATCTGTGAAATAAGTGAGTGTGACTGCATCCCAGTGAGTCTCTTTCTGGACACCCAATCTGCGTTTCATGTAATTTTCACATGTCATGCGATCACTTCTTTTGCTTTTTGTTAACAATGGTTTAAAAATATGAAGAACCATTTTGGGCTTGCAGGTTGGAGGAAAACAGATCAGCTGTGCACTGCAGTTCACAGACCCTGAACCAAGTGGCGGCAGAAAGGACCAGGGCAGCTCACCACTGTGACTACTGCCTCGTCCTTCCACACCAGACCTAGCTGGAGCTCCCAACCCTCAGTCGTGATGTGAGAGCCCCCAAGATGGCGCTGGGAAAGTTATGGAAGCTGCTGGGCTGGGGGTACTGAGAGCAGCAGGATGCAGGCAAGAAGCAATGCTGGAAGACAGTCTTGGAGACCACAGCTTCTCTTGGAAACACGGGCCCCGGGCGTACTGGAGTCCTGCACAGGATTATTTTAAGGACTTCCTGCTTAGAGAATATAGCTCTCCAAAAGCAAGCAGGTTAGAAGGAAGCAGCCAAGACAGGGTCAGGGGGCCCTGCATAGCCCACAGTATTTATTCTTTCTGTCTCACTGTTTACAGTGTAGGCAGGAGGCCAGGAACCCTCCCCTCAAAGTGAGCCCAGAGACATCATCCTTAGTGAAGAACCCCAACCCCTCAAGAAAGCAAGCACGCCTTTTGAACTCACCTTCCAACCCCGGATATAAGACTGAATCGCCAAGGCGGAAGCCTTTATCTGTTGATACCTCTTTTGTTGCTGCAGGATGAAAGGAAAAGAGGTTAGCAGCTGTATTTACATCTGTAACGTGGACACTGCAGACTTGAGGGGATTCACTCCCCTGGCACACTGTACTCCGGACCATCCACACTTTTTCTGGAAACCAACGCATAAACAAACCAAAGTATCAAGCTGACCAAAACGATTACAGTGCATCAAGGATACTAAATAGAGCTCCTAAATGGCTGGAAACTCACTACGATCATCACCTGTTCTGTGCATCTTGTTATAACACAGAGTCCCCTGCTCTGAATCGATTCACATTGACTTCCTGTCTGCTGCAGAGTGTTCTCTTCCTGGTGTCATTTCTCACCATGGAACTCAATGGGACGACCTCTACCCTCCCCAGTCCCTTTCAGGTTTGCTGTTTTCACTCTTCTCCAAGCTGGGAAATCAGATCAAGGTTTCTGTAAAACTGCTACTGATGGGCCGAACTTGGACAACACGAACGGAGCTTCCAATGGAACAGCACCATGAGGAAACAAACAGCAGTCCCGCTCTATCCCTTCCCTCAGAACCTGCAGAGGACATAGTCACCATGGCTAAGGACAAACAGGCTGTGCAGGACGGGCAGGCTGGAGGCAGCAGAGGGCTCTTACAGGCGGCAAGGGCACAGGTTCAATGAGGTGCCACCCTTTGGCTCATCAAGGGCTGATGCCTCAGACAGGAGAAGCTGCCAGAACGCTTCCCTGGGAGAGCGACCTCCCGTAGCATTTAGTGTGGAACGTACACTGGAACACAGGCGTCTCTGGATGGAAACTGGAAATCTCACAACGCTAACATCTAACATCAAACACTGCTGAGCACACACTTCGGAAACACAAGGTCGCTCAGCTCCTGTTCTCTGAGGCAAGAGAAGTTTTTAGGATCCTAAAGCTCTATTCAGCAAGATCAGAGGTGATGGAGGGATGAGGCAAAACCAGAGAGAAAAGCTGACACAGAATGGGCCCATTCTCTGTCCTGAGCTGTCCACTGAGGAGGAGCTGGACGATCCCAAGGGTCCTCAAGGAACAAAATCCCAATGGGCACACACGGGTGCAGATCTAACCACCATGTGGCAGTTCTGTTCTCTTTAATTGCTACATGTCTTCAAACATACATCTCAATTTAAACCTTATAAAATATCACAAAATATGAAACAGTTAGGGAAATAATAACACGTCTTCAGGAAATCTTGAGTTTTTCGGTTGGGAGGAAATACTGAATACCATCACTGGTGCTCACAATCACTGGTCCCAATAACAACATTTGGAACTGGCTGAGTATATGGTTCAAAGTCAAAACAGATATAACGTTCAAGCAAAGTCAATGCCTTCTCTAGAAATCGTTAATCTATCTTACACGTTAATACCGCTCACGACTCCGACCACTGTGAATTAGTGCTCTACGGTGACTTTCACCCCAACTACTGACAAAAGAGCCCTTAGAGGCACAGAATATCATGGCTCTTTGCAATGCCTGATCCTCCTGCTCCTTCCAGTCAAGCGGGCCCTGCCCAGAGGCTGTCTTTACCACCCTACCTGTTATACCAGCCCTTCTCCTCATCACTCTTGATGTCACCTCTGTTTCCGTCCTAGCACTCACAACAATCTCATCGCTCTGTGATACATCTGATCCCTCACTGGATATAAACTTTATGCAGTCAGGAACCTGGCACAGCAGGGGTTTCAAAACCACAAGCAGAATTTCAGACAGACGAATCAGTACTCTCTCCAATCTGGGTTTCCTTAATGACTTCAGCTAAGAACTGATGAAAGGGGCTCCTTAGGGGCCTGACTATGTGTTCATCCTGACTCTCTCAGGCAAGCAGAACTCAGTGCCATGAATCTGAAGAAGTGTAGTAGGTGCTGTCAGATCCAAGAGGAGAAGCCACACCATCAGCCAGGCGACATCTGCCCCATGCCTTCGCAGAGCGAACGACTCTGCCATGCACAGGGCCAGGCAGGCTCACGGTTTTAGAACAGCCTGCTGGCTGTAGTTTTTTAGCTAGAATGAGCAATACTAAAGATGTTCTTTTAAAGGTCAAGCAAAGCTTCCTTAATCTTTTCAGTACTTCATTAATTTTCAAACTTGGAAATACTGTACTACATTAAAATGTACCATATTTTGTAGGAGAATAAGTCAGCATAAATTATGTCTTGATTATTGCCTTACAGCAAAACTCATCTGCAGCCCCAGAAACGGGGACAAATACACAGAATGAGATTTGACTGCTAATTTCTTTAATTTTTCAACTCACTCCTCAGTAAAGCAGCTCGGAATAAAAAACACTTGGCCATACTGTTCTTTCTTCTCAATAAAATTCATCTGGCAAGAACACAACCTAAGTTCAGCCTAGCCCACAGGCCACAGGCCAAGCTTCTCTCTCACCTGCGGTATGCCTCTAACAAAACATCTACAACCAAGTTAAAAAAATGTTCTCCAAAGAAATTCTGTGTTAATGAACACACTTTATTACCGAACCATTCCTTACAGTTAGAAGGAATAGATTAAGTGAGGGGTAGAGAAAAATCTAATCCTTTAACCAAAACCAGAATCCTACTACAACACAGCTTTGGAGCCTGGAATTAAAGCCATTGTCATTGCTGCTACAATCAAAATAGAAGAACCAGTCATTTTGGAAAACTGACCCAACCACTGTGAGAGGACAGAATGACACCGTTCCTCCCATCTGAGGACCAAATTAAGGCGGTAACTTCTCACTACCTGCATCTAGATCAGTGCAAAGCAAGGTGGTATTCTCAACGCAAGCCCTGAAACTGTCTTGGACCACAATCACAACAGCTCTGTCTCTTACAGCTAGGTGGCCCTGGTCCAATTAAATCAACAGCTCAGTGCCTTAGTTTTTCTCACATTTAAAAAAGGAATCATAAGAGCATGCATCTCATGAGGTTGTGGGGAGGATAAAAAATGATACACACAGTGAGCACACAGTTAATGTGCGCAAATTAGCATCGTCAGGTGATGCAGTATCCTTACCGCATATCTCCGGCACCAGGCAGCAATCACAATCTGGCTTTTCTTCATCAGCAGGAAGTGTGTGCGGCATTTCCATCCTCGGTAAATCTTCTGAATGAGTGTGGCTAGGTCCTCCAGCCGCTGCTTCCTCAGGTCTTCCAAGGCGAATAACTAGGAAGAAACGTCAGATGGGCTCATCAGGGAGCGGATGAACTGAGCTTAAGTTTACCTTGAGCTGTCAACGGAGGTGCGAGCCAGTCCAACTTGAGCCTCTGTAATCCCCAAGTCCATAATGCTCTCAAAACCCACAATTTGTTTTTGAGCGCCAACATGATGCTAAAAAAGTTTCCAGTTTTGGAGCTACCTTGGAGTTCCCATTATCAGATCAAACGTGTGTCAGCAGATAATGTCAAGGCAAATATTCCAAACTACTGACAACTCCAAAGTTTGGTCCCAAGCATTTTGGAGAGCAGATTCTGGCAAATTACCACCAACAGTCTAACTACTTCCCGAGTTCGCAGAGTTTTCAAATGATCAAATCAACTGCTATGCCAAGTGCTTTTTACACATTGTAAAAAAGTTCCTGTGGTGCTCTGTGAGGTAGAATCTAACTGTTCTAAGTGCTAAAATTTTTCATTTCAGTGCCTCCATTTACCTCTAAAAGCAGAGGTACAGTCTCAAAGCTATTGTATAACTTAATATTACAAACACGGACTGACTTTGCTTCCAGCTGCTATGGGTCAGGGAGGATTTTCTATGGTGGTGACAGGTTCTTGCTGATTTATTTCATAAGTGTACAATCTGACAGAAGGAAGATTTTGAGTTTCCTGGATAATGCACATGTTGTACCCTTTGCCCTGCTGTGCCCGTGCCCGTGGACCCAGCAGCTGAGCACAGGTCTGCCCTTCGGGGTAACCCTCACGCAGTATCAGAAAGTGAAACGTCCTTTAAAAACTGAGCGGCAGAAGCCAGACTCCAGTTCAGAGGGTAGAAGCTGGGGTTACGTACTGTTCTTGGGTTGCGGATAAATATCTTTGATCTACCAAAGGAATATTCTTCCATGGGAATTTCCAATTCATTAAACAAAACCTCCACACCAGACCTAAAAAGAACAAAAATAAAAATAGAAATGGTGACTTTGCTGAGATACAAAACCAGTTTCATCTCATATTATGATGGCAGGCTCTATTTTTTTCATTACATTTTCCTATAATCTTAAACTCTTCGTTTCCCAGTGTAACTGCTCTTTTTGTAATCATCCTTCCATCAAAGAATTTCCAAGAGTGAATCCCACAAATTAAACTAAATCCAGTAAACACTAAGAAAGTAAATTAGGGTTCAAAACAATGTATTCCAAGAAAATGTGGCAATAAAACCAATTTCTTAATTTCATCAACAATATATTTGTATCAAATACACCCCTAGTGATGCATCAACCAGAAAGGTGAGCAAGAGCCTCCAATCTGTGTTGAATCAACTCAACTAATTCCTGAAGATAACTGAAATATTATTCCCTCTCCTCAGAGGCAGGTTAAGGCGCAGAGACCAATGGGCCTTGCACAGTGCGCAGAAGGCCCAGAGACCATGGATTCAACGTCAGTTTTGAAAACTAACCCGGCTCCACCGAACTGGGAGTAAATACAAACCACACTCTAGAAACCAGCAGCAGGCACTGAAAGGTACGCCACACTACGCGGGCACTGACTGAGGCATCAGAGACCACGCCATGTCTGAATTTCTGCATCTTCCTGAACAGCACAGGTGCATCTCCAGTTACTGTCAATGCTCCTGGAAAGGCCAAGGCCACTGAGCACAGGAAGGCACCTGCAGCTGGGGAGACGACATCCCCCAAGGGCCTGGCTCACCCTCTCACGGGTGTGCTGGTTAGCTAGAGAAGGGGCAGCTCTGCCCGGCCTGACCAGCAGCAGCACTGGCACAGGGTCTTACCTGCCCCCCTCCCACTGCTTCTCGCAGGGGAAATTCCCCATGGGAAAGGCGAAAAGCGGGCAGTGGGGATCTGAGGTGCATGCATCACCGCCCACGGACTTACCATGGGCATCATTTAAAACGAATCAATGTGCCAGTTCCAAACGTGGATTGGATGGGTCCGGTTTTTGACCTTAAAGAAACTCAAGACCTCTTTAACGAATCAGAAATAGGACAAAATGGTATCCAAGTGGAAGAGGGTCCAAAACAGAGGCCACAACCAAGTTTTCATAGAGCTGCTTTGCCCAGCAGCCTATACTTTAAAAATTATGATGCACAGTGAGCAAACTTCTTACCTTGCCGGTCCCTTCCAATGAGGCCATGTCTGTTTGCAAAGCATCTTGTATCTTTCCAGGCAAGGCTCGTAGGCCTGCCTGAAGGCATAGCCTGCCCGCCTCACCCGCACGTTCTCCAGGAGACCCAGGTAGCGGATCTGGTGGCACACCAGGCTCTCAGTGAAGACGTGTGCTGCCTTTTTATCATTAGGCTTGATACACCTAGAAGATTTCACAGATGCTCGGTCTTAACTTCTGCCTCTGCGGATGCAACTATACCGCACTTCTAAATCCTGTGTCTAGTCATCTTGTAGTAAAATAATTCTTTGTTATTTTTGAGGAAACTAGTCATTTTTTTTTTATTATTTAAAGCTATTTGATAGTGAACTAATTAAGTACCGGTAATTAAAAGGCACACATTGGTACAGTCAATGGTACGGATGGGTATCACAGACATTCTGGAGTGAAAGCAGTCTGACAACATGCCGCATACCATGTAACTCCATTCTTCTGATGTTCCGGCAAAACTCATCCAAATCAGCACAGCTGTGACCTCTCCAGGGAGGCGGTGGGAAAGGAACAAGGAACCTCTGGGATGATAGAACTGCTTTCTGTTTTGGTCTGAATGGGGTAGCATGTACAATGTATGTAAACAGCCAACAAGCTGTACAATTAAGACTCATACACTTTGCCGTACACTACACTTGAATAGAAAGAAAAGGTGCACTGTTTTCTCCTTCTATCCTTCTTTTTAACATAGCACTTTGCAGCCTCAGGAAAGGAAACGTTCCCAGCATCCTCTGCCAGCAGGCATGGCCATGTGACCCAATTCTGGCCACTAGGATTAGAAGCAATGATGCTGCTTCTGGTGTCTGTCTTTAAAAGGAAGGGACCTGTTGGCCCCTTCTAGTGGAGCTGAGGTGAACCCCTGAAAATGTCAGTGACACAAAATAGAAGGAGCTGCCCTTTAGTATGGGGCTCCTTAACAGCTGCATAAGAAATAAAGGTTGGTCCTATCCCTTTTGAAGCCACTATTAGTTTAGGAATATATTGCAGCAATTCCTGTGATCTAAATAACACAGCTGTTAAAAATTCATGACTATGCTGCCTAAGTAGTTCTCCCTTGGTGATTTTATGCTTCTCTTTTTACCTTTTATAAATATTATATCTACTCTTTGGTTTACGTAAGGACAGAAATTGCTCAATGGAACAGCCTAGAAAGTTCAGACCCAGACTCCTGATATATATTCAACTGATTACCAATAAAGGCATCAGGGCAATTGGATAGAAAAAAAGAGATTTTCTTTTCCTCTTAATATCTTGTGCCAGAGAAACAAAATATCTACATGGGGAAAAGAAGCAAACCTAAATATGAAACCTGAAACTACAAAGATTCTAGAAGAAATTATACAATAATAAATTCACAACCTTGAGGTTTATTAAGATTTCTTAGAGAGGATGTAAAAACCAGTAACAAGGAGGGGGATGAAAGACCTCTCTGGGAAGATGGAAATGCTTTCTGGCTTGACCTGCGTGTGGTTACTGGAGTATATATAATGGTTACAACATCTGAAGTCTTCTCCCAGGACCCACATATCACTTGCTATCAACAATACCTCGATAAACACAGCATTAAAAAACCCAGCCACTTGAGAAAAACAACAGCAACCGATCACAGAAAGTTCCCCAGTTATTTTTTGGACAAAGTTGATTTTTTTCTACTGCATGTTTTCACCTAATGGCAATCAAACCAGGACATTTTCCCTAATTACATCCCTACTGACAGAAATAGCAGGTAAACTGGCCCCACACAAACATCCTTCGCTCTCATTTCCTCATGGCTGAATGCTTGCATCTGCTGCTGTGCATGAGGGTGTGGAGGCACTCGGGAAATCAGACCCCGCGGCCAGCACAGCTCCCCGTCCAGGTCCCCAAAAGCACCACGGGAAACTCAATGCCAGTCGGGCTTTCCTGAATCCCAACACAGCAACATCTAAGAAGATCTAAAGGCCGGAAATAGAGACTAATTGTTTTGAAAAAGTGCATTCTAGGGCATTTTTAGGAATCATCCCTCACTCCTGGCCCACAACTTCTCCCCTTAAAAAAAAGGGGCCAATTTCCTCACACTCCTCTGCTCTAAATCAATATTGCAGGAATCCAAAATGACATCAACAAAAGAGCTCTCTGCAAAACCCTGACAGGAGAACCCATTCTATTTTATTTGCTAATTCTCCATTAACAACCACAACAACAACAACAGAAAAAAAAAAACAACAAGAGAAAGTCATGAACCTCTGTGTGCCAACCACTTGGCTTCGTGAAGTATCTGCCGTCACCCTCAAAACGCTTTTCCTCTTCCTTTTTTTTCCTCTCTTATTTTGGAGAAAAGAAGGAGAGTGGAGGGTTTTTCGAACCAACTCCAGGTACATTGGTTGATCTGTAACTATTCTGCTTATCCTCGCCTGGGCTACATTCAAGATGGAAGCAAACAGGAAGATGGCGCTCCTTGGGCACGCTCTCACATGTGCGCTTTAAATGCCAGAAATACCTGATATAGTTTGGGTTCTTGGTCTGCAGGTTTTTCATCAGGGTGGCCACAGATGCTTTGAACTGTGACCCTGCTGTTGGGGGCCTTTTCAGGTTGATCTTGGCAGGGTTCCCTTCAGGGAACAAAGACTTGATGAGGGCGTGGCCGGCCTTCCACATGGCCTGGGACAGGTCTCGGTAGAGCAGGTCATTGTTCTTGTCCACAAACCCCTCCACCTGATACAGCACCTACGAGCAGGGCAGGAACTCAGTGGCTGGCACACTGCACACGGTCATGTCACCCAGGCGAAGAACATTCCACGCCCATCTACACTGTGGCCCCTCCTTCCCCAGCATACACGTGCTCTAACACCAAGTGAGCCTTCACACTTAGGCTCCGCCTGTCTAAACTGCAGGAGAGATCAAAATAAATTCTACCTCCTTTCAGGAGCCAGAAGGACAAACTTGAAAAATGTTACATTTGAAAAGATTTTAGGGTTTTTTTGTTTGTTTGTTTGTTTGTTTTTTGGTGTCTGAACACATTTTGAGGTTTTACTTTTATTTTTCAGTTCATGTGCCAATTCTGGTCTGTTTAAAAGCAGACAGGAGAAACAAGAGATAATGGTAATGTTTTCACAGACATCTTAAAGTGGCAGAGAAACCGATCAGAAATAGACCTTTTTGGTGCAGGCAAATGAAAAAAAATAAAGCACCAAAGTTGAAATGAAAGGTCGTTCAAATATTATATATCCTATTTTTACTACATACATAATTAACATTTTTTCCTTCTGGACTTTGCAATCTTACTTATAACAGAGGTATTAACACTAATCAGTGCTCTGAGATTCTCAAAATTAATCTAGTATAAAAATTTTAACATTACCCTTATATATATATTAAATGGCATAAATCCTTCAAACACTAGCCAACTACACATGTACAAACAGTAAATATTTTCCCCAGTACCTTCAAAATCTCAAAGAAATCATTATTTTTAAGTGGATTTTTTAGAAAAACCTTTAATGTAAATCTTCAGTCATCCCTAATTTTACCAGTAAACCTCCTTCATCAGTGTTGATAGGTACTTTCGTAGGAGAGTTTAGCGCTTGAAAGTAATAAAACTGACTTTCAGGACACGTTTGCACTGTGCATCAGGCCAACCGGATTAGCTCTGCTGTTGGTTCTCTGACGGGACAGGATTTTGCCCTGCGAGGTCCAGGTGCGATTTCCACGGAACGCGCGCTGATCCGACTCGTTCTTCCCAGCCAGCGTGTTCGGGGGGACCCCGGCACCCGCAGGACAAGCTGGGTGCCCCGCCCGCCTACCTTGCCCGCGTAGTGCTGTATGCGGAAGCAGCTGTGGGGCAGCGACGTGTCATTGAGGAAGCGCGAGCACCTGCTCATCCTGCTCTCGAAGTGCTGGTGGGTGGCGCACACCTGGTTCAGCTTCTCCAGGAAGGTGTCGTCCGTGACGGTGCCGGGCCTGAGGCACTCTTCGTCCAGCATGGCCAGGATTCCGTTGGTGTTCTGGGAGAAGGGAAATGGAAGGTTTCCTTCCTTCCTCACTGTATTGTCTCAGAGATTGCTCTTAATCTTGCGCCATCAACACATTCACAAGGAAATTATGTTCAGTGACAACAAAAAGCAGAGGATCCAAACACATCACAACAGCCACAGACTCCGCCCTAGCAGAGAGGGCCAGGCGCACGGGGAGGGTCTGCCCAGCAGTCTGTCCTCTCCCTGCAGAACAGGCCTGGGGGCCACAGCAGAACCGAAGTCCACACGTTAGCCAAAGATCAAACAAATCTAAAACCAACGGGACCACGTGGTCTCTATACCACTCCACAAATCACAAAGCCAAGTCTAAGGCTGTTATTTTTATTCATAGTTACAAAGGAAATTGGTTTCATATGTTTCCAATCTGTTCATGTGTTTGAAATCTAGTTGAGTGTTTAGGGGCATCATAAATAAATAAAAATGCTGTGATGTGGGATGCTGATTTTAATGATTATTGCAATCACACTGTTCTCAAGAATATGTTCAGGGGCCAGGGATTTAGCTCAGTGGTTCTGGTGCCTGTCTTGCAAGCGCAAGGGCCCAAGTTCAATCCCCAGTACCAAAACCATAAAGCAAAAAAACAAAAAACAAAAAAACCCAAGAATATGTTCAGAATAAAATGCTTATTTCATATAACATTTCCAAGTGGATATGAACCATGGATAAAAACAGACTTGTATTTCAGACCCTGTGAAAATTTCAAAAGCAGGCAGCCCCGAACAGAAAAAGAAATCAAAAATCTGCTTAGCTAAAAAAAAAGTGCTGCTGTTCCTAAACAGCCCCTATAGACCTCTCATCTTAATTCCAGAAACAATCCACTTGCTCGCCACCAACCCCACCCACTTCCACCAAGGCAGAGGCCTCCATTCCTCTTCCGGTCCTCATGGGTTCTGACACCCTCCAAGCAGCACCTACTAATTCCACACGTAACCCAGGGGAAGTGTGGGCTCTCAGCGATCAAGAGCATTCATAACATCCCCAGAATAAACGCTGTTGTTTAACAATGGGGAAGGAAACATTTCTTTTATGAGCCCAGGCTCTTAGGTGAACGTGAGTTTCTTTGCAATCACCATGTGACTGGGTTTTTGGCAGAGATGACCTAGTTAAATTAATTACACATCCTCCCCCCTTCTTAAAGGGAAATTCATTAAGTGCCGTGTCATTTATGTTTATAAAGAAAGACGTGCTAGGTGAGAATCTTGAAAGTTGAGAGTTCCCACAAAAAAAGATCTAGGTCAGAGTTTGCTAGAAAAAATTTTCAGGAAATTTACACATTTTTAAATGGATTTTAGGTTAGAGCTTTGAATTCTCTATGTGGACTACCACTGTTCCCATTCTAACCGTAGCCAGACTGTTCAAAACAAAGGTTACTTCTTATTAAAAAGTGGTAATGCTTTAGAATGCAGTTTTTAATGTTCAGTTTAATCAAAGATGCAGCTTTTAAGACCACTTTTTAAACTATAGGGTTATCTTAAATAATGGAGGGAAAAACATGGGTTAATTAGAAAATTTCCAAAAGGGTTATTGAAGATGAATAGAAAATGATTTGCTATAAATCAGAGCCTGAATTCATAAATCACAGCACTCAGCTACCCTGATAGCCACAAAGACTATAGGACAGTAAAGATTATACGATGTCTCATATTGTGTCATCAAGGTTGGCAGTGTTAGTAGTAATTCTATGTACAAAACCGAAGACCTTCCTGTTCCCACACATGAATAGGTGTCCCAACCAATAATCCATTTATAGTAAGCTAGAGGATATGATCTGAAAACAAAAATCTTGGATTCAGACAGCTCTCCTAAAGTCACCCAATAGTTTTGCACATTTTCATAAGCTTTTGCGCGTGCGCATGCGCGCACGCACACACACACACACACACACACAGTACCCTCTCCCATTCACTGATCAGGGCTAAGTCTATACCCCACTCAATTCAGCGGCAGTTTGTGCCCTTTTCCTCCTTTACCTGAGTTTGAACAGCATGATAAGGTTCCCCAGAGTTTTAGAAACGAGATGGACAGTGTGATTTGCAGAAAATCGAATTAATTATGCTGCTCTGAGCCAACTCTAGGGACCCCAGATGGGATCCGGGCTACCCACAGCAGAAAGGCTGGGGGCTGACGGGTGGTGTCTGAGGGCAGGACAGACTGTGGCATGGCTGATGGGACAGGCACGCAGGAGCCTGGCTGAGGGACAAGCTGCCGGGCTGTCTAGGTGTCCAGTCCTGAACAGTCTCTCGGCTACAAAATAGTCTCCCAAACTGCGGAGCTCCTTAAAGGATAAGGGTAAAACCATAAAAATGCCAACACTTCCTACCAAAAGCATTCCACAGAATTCCACAGAGTTAACCACACACCTGAATTTCTCTAGGAGATGGTACATAGATACTCACATTTTCTATTAGGTCACAAATGATAGCATTGTTGAAGTAGTCAATGTGAGTCCATTCTATGTCCTTAAAAAACAGAACAGAACAAGTCAAAACCTGTGCGGTGATGACAGAACTCTACCACCTGAAACGCACACTTCGCTCACCTCACCACGTTTTACTTCCTTTCCCCAAATTACTTTTCTTTACAGAACCGGGTCTGTGCATATCACCCTCCAGTCCCCCAAACGTAGTTCAGGCAGTGTCCACCACGAGGGAGTGGATGCACTGCCCCCTGACCTGGCCAGATGACTCCTGTCTGTGCTGGGACCGTTTCCCATGCACTCCCTGGCTCCCGGCCAGCCCCTCACTCAACGGGCCCTCGGGTCAGTATCATCGTGTACACCAACAGTGTTTACAAGGAAATAAAGCAGAACCTGATCCCAGGAAGCCAAGGCCTCGCTTTTTCTGTTCTTCATTGGGCATCCCAAAGAAAAAACAAATGAATCTTAGAGTCAACCTAAGTTGTATGGCAGCTAACTATTTCAAGTGCAAAAGCAACAACAACAACAAAAAGGCCCAGGGCTAAGACGAAGTATTTTCATCACCAGGAAAGCCGTGACATCTTTCTGTTGGCTCAAACGCTAGCCACATGGTCGAATCCACGAGGCTACGTGCAACCATTCGGCATGTGCTCACACTTCCTCCATAACCATAAACATTTATTTTTGTTCTAAGGAAAAAAATGTAATTCACAAAGCAGGCCAGGGATCTTCCTCCACACTCTTAAAATCTGTGCAAACTGTTTTAAGTCACACATCAAAGTTTTGGTATTCTCTTTATGACAAGAAGAGAGCAAATCTTACTTTTAGAATATTTATGTCACTAAAGATGCCACAGAAATGTAAAGCAGTTCTAAAGCATAAGGACCATTCTAAAACCAAGACGAAACATTTATAATTCAGCTTAAGAGTAAATGAGTTGTTTGCTGTCAATGAAGATTAATGCTCACAATTTAAAAATCTATACTGAGATTATAAAAATAAGGACTCAGTGTCTTTACCGCCTAAAAGTCATACTATAGCAAGTGAACGAAAACACATAGCATTACGAAGATATTTTAAAAATAAATAAAAAGGAAACAAAAATAGAGACGATGTAAAATAATTTTTTCTTTCCCTTTTTTGAAAAATTTTACTTAGAAAAAATGGCCATTACAAAATGAGTGTGAAAACCAAGAACATGTTACAGAATTACAGATGAAACACTTGGCAAACATTACTTCCAGGATTTTAAATGTTATTAAATGAGATAATTCACACACAGTACTTAATACCTACAGACCAGGTATGTTGCAAATATTACTTTTTACTATAAATTTGAAAAATCAATGCTTTTCAAGATTGAGTCTCAAAATGTTTTCAAATCTTTGGTGACAGTGACTGTGGTGCCTGGTTCTCAAGTTTATGGTGTCATGTGACCACCATCAACATCATTCCCCCAAACACCCCCTTGACTCCTACACTCTGACAAGCAGAACTCTATTGCTCTCTAAAGGCAATCTGTCTCTGCAGCTTGGGATGATACACAGATGGAATAGTTCGGCATGCAGCCTGCTGAGTCTGGCACCTTTCACCAACACAATCTACTTAGAATTATTCATGCTACGTGGTATATCAACTACGAATTCCTTTTTATGGCACAGTAGTAGTCCACTGAATGGATATACCACAGAGTCTGTCCATTCATCTTTGAATATTTTGACACATTACTATTTCACATCATTACCCCAGATTCCAAGGAAACTAGAGGCCCTCAACTAATTACTTATTCCTCACCAACCATGTGCCTGGCATTGCTGTGGGCACTGGTAGCACAGTACCAAAGAGAATCCCGGTTATTGCAGACACCTAAGTTAAATATACCAAGCAAAATTTTAAAAGACACAATTATGATTCAACTTAGATGAATCTGACGCCAGGATCATGGTTGTAGACCATCTCCCGAATCTGGAATTCAGATTGTGAGTAAAAAACAAATGAATTTTTAAGAGGCATCCCAACATTACCTCCCGTATGTACTCTTCCTGCTCTTCTTTCAGAGTCAGTTCAATGAAGATCTGTTGCAGCTTCTCATTACAATAATTAATAATGAACTGCTCAAAGCTGTTGTCCTGTATGCAGAAAATGAAAAAAGCCCCATTAACCGCGTCACCAACTCTCCTTGACAACGACACTCGGACACCTCAGCCCATGACAAACGCCGCACACTCTTTCAGATTGAACGGCAGGCGGCACACAGCTCGACAGACAGACGCCAGCCACGCGCACGGGTCCTCGGGAGATGAATGCTTCATGGTAAGTGAACGGAGACATCCAGTCTCCACAACGATGCGGCAGAGCAGGACAAAGGCTTTTAGTGACAGGGAGCAGCCGCACGTGCTTTAGAAGAAAAGAAAATATTCCCGCGAAGGATCGGGAAAGACCCAGTGAGATTCCCAGCCTCCATCACTGACTTCTCAACCTCCCTCTGGTCCTCCTGGCCCGGACCTCTGTTCTCGACACCCAGGGTCAGGCCCGTCACCCTGACACCCTGACATTCTGCAGAATCGTGTCACACGGGCTGGGGCGTGCGCGTGGGACATAGGCCCTAGATGTGAACTTGGCCTCCCTGCTCTTCGTGCACCGTGTACGCATGTGTTGATTAACTTCTTACAGGTACTGATTAGTTTCTTCCTTCATGTGATTAAGATTATAACCCTCAGGACCCGGGGCTGACTATGTGCTCGTTCATGCTCCTGGATTCCCCTCCTGGCGCCGTGCCTGCCAAGCATTCAAGATGTCCCAAAGGAGGTTGTGACTGAAGCTCCTACCAAAGAGAGACACCCGGGAAGGGAAGCGTCAAAGCCACGTCCCTTGCCACAGATGCTCTCTCTTTTCCTGGCAGGCCCATGCCCCATCACGTAGCGCCGGAGCAGTTTTTCCCTCCTACTGGAGATCTTGCATGAATTCTCCCATGCAACCCCCATGCCTCTGCTGAATGGTGTGCAGGGCCTAATCTACTGCAGGGCTGCACGTGTGGGAGACAAAGATCACGCATCGCTTGAGTGAATGCATTTTACCTAGAACCACGGCTTCCAGGAGGCAACGGAGCTGGTACTAAACCTTGTCACACCCACCTCTCTCTGGGTGCTTTGCCGAGAGACGGCGCCCACAGGAGTCAGGTGAACCCGACTCTCTTCACACAGGGTGCCCAGGCTGGTCTAACGACTAATGAAGGAGGGGCCACGTGGAGTGGTGGCCCCACAGCCTGCTGCTACCTGTGAACATGCGGGCTCCTGCCCTTATCGTCCTTTCAGAAATAACGAGAGGAAAAAAGTCCAGGAAGTCTTTGAAAGTTGATCTTTTAAAATCAACTTCAGTTCTAGCCTGGACACATTTTACAATGGTACTTGTGACACAGATTCCAACCACATTCTTTCCTGGAAGTCAGCTAGGGGTGTGTAATCCCCAGCAATGACTGATCAGAGGGGAACATTAATCTACGCCATAAATGACACATGTGAAACCCCACGGTGGACTCACCTTGCCCATGCTAAATTTAGTCAATGGTCTCTGTTTTTTCTAAATCCCAAAGGTTCTTACTAAAGGGTAAACATTTATGTGCAATTCTTTTAACAAAATACAACCATAGAGGGCTGGGGATTTAGCTCAATGGTGCCATGCCTGCCTTGCAAGTGCAAGGTCCTGAGTTTGATCTCCATACCAGGAGGAAAAAAAAAAAATCTTAGACATAAGGTGCATTCCCTGGTACTCACTTGTAGACTAACTTTCCAAAACCTTGAGCTCCAATCCTCAGAGCAAATAATTTTGGAAACTGTAAGTCAGCATGGTAGAGATAACTTTTTATACCCAGTATAAAGCCATTTCAAAGATGAAAAAACCTAGCTTCCTTGATTTGGAAAAAAATTTTTTTTTTTTGTTACCAGGGATTGAACTCAGGCCCTTGTGCCTGCAACAGGTGGCAGAACCACTGAGTCAAGTTGCCAGCCCAATGTTCTTATAAAGTATAAAATTTTCATGGCTTATAGGAGCAGATCTTTGTTTTGGAAAATAGAAATATGGAGCCAATCTTTTCTGTTATTTGCAACTCTGTGTTCCTGCTAAATCTTCCACCAGTCACTAACAACGAGAAGGTAGGCAGGAGTAACTGGTGTCATCAGACACAGTATGTGGCTGGGGGGGACATCTTGCAGAACACCTCAAAACAGGACTGTGAAATACACACAAGCACATCAAAAACTAGTGTCAAAACTTCACAACCACAGCACACCTTTTAGGATTAAGGTAGCACTACATTAAATTTGCTGCCAACCTTTAAAAAATCCTGCATGAATTCTGTACTTCATGTCCACACAGTTAACCAACAGCCATTGACTGCAAAACCACACAGCTGGAGAAGCCATTAGCACAGGAGCATGCGACAGACTGGCACCGCACACGAGTCATACTTACTGCACTCTGGTGCAAAGAGGGACAGATTACACAAAATGCCGTCAGTTCTTAGGCAGCAATAGACTTTGGAAAGTAAACACTTCCTCAGAGTTACTTATTGTAGCAAATGACAGCTTTTACCATTCAGGCTATATGTCTGATTGGTGTGAAACTTTAGATCAAGACAGGTATTCAAAAGACAGGGCCACCACACCTACCTGTGGGGTCTCAGCTGTGATTTCTGCTAGAGGAGCATTATTCAGGATAAAAACAGTTTGGCTGAAATCAAAATTAATCCTGTGCTTCTAATTCTAAATGATCAGGAAACAGAAAATGTGCCTGACATGTACGCAAACATTCAGGGGCAGAAGCAGTTGGCAGATCACAGAATCGTGAAGAGACTCTGAATGACCGGAAGTTCCTCCCATCCTGGCCCTTGTGGTCCCACTGTGTGGTCCTCCCACCCGCCCTCAAAATCAAACAGAATGATAAAAAGGTAGTATTCTCCTGGAGATGGCCTGGTAACAGAAACTTGACTCACCTACGTTATTCTATTGCTAAAAAGCAACCAATCAACAAACCCAAAAAATAGAATACTACAATCATTAATTAACTTCCCCATGGAAATCAGCATCTATTGCAAACACAACTCCAAAGTCTGAAACACGTCATGAATGGCCAGGGCAGTAATTACACAGAAGGCTAAAGATATGTATTTCTGGTGGTGTAAGTTGTTGACATTGCTCAAACATGGGGTGAGTGGGACTTCACACACGTGATTACAAATAACTTGCAAAACTGTAAAGAATAATAATATGCAAAAAGTTCAAAGAATTCCCCTTCGTACCAAGCTAATACATTTCTCACTTTATACAGGTGTTAAACAAACACAAGGTTTGCAATATGGATTCTCTCTCCCCTTTGTAAAACAGCTGAGCCAAGTCCAGAAACTTATCACCCACCCATGAAGGCCCCAAAGCAACTTTATATTTGGATAATCTTTGATTTGCCGAGAACCCTGTGAGCATCTGGCACCTCTCCCCTGAGTCAATCTCCAAAGAGGGAAGGGGGCAGAACTTCCTCTTCAGTGACTCATTTCCTCCCCCTACTTCTCTCCACAGGCTCCTTGTGTGGATGGTTGCTCTAGTGTCTTCCCCTCTGTTACCCACCAGACTCTGGGATAAAACTAAAACTTTCAGAGCATCTCCAAACAAGTACTTTCTGTTACAGGAATCCCTTGCATGAGGCCCCAAACCACCTCCCGCCCTCAACAGCTGTCTTAGAGGGTGCAGGTATACAGTTAGGCGTCTTCCTTCTACACTACTCCACACTGTGGGCACCAGCTGCTCATGAGGACAGCAAGCACTTACACTATATTTAGAAGAGTGCAATACACCACAATTTGAAATTCTAGGGCTTCTTTCAAAAATTCTAGACTTGGAGTCCATCGTTTCAACATCAAAGAAACAGAAAATCATACTCTCAGTAGAGTTCATTACTAGTTTATACTTCTAAGTATCAATCATGGATTTTCAGCATGGAACACTTTTAAAAGATGCATTAAAAATACTGGCCTACTAGTGTATTTCCCCTTAGCAACAGGGGAGGTTAAGGATATCCTATCCTCTTTAAAGCAGGCAGATATATTTTGAAATCTTGTACTTTTTAAAAAACAATTAAAGTTAAAAGAAAGACTAATAGAGGAAGCATCTTTGTCACTCCGTACTTCAGATGGTGAGATACGAAGAGGCTTACAGGTGAGTTAGAGTGTGTTGGAATCAATGAACAGTTCAAACACAAAGACCCTGGCTCTCTCAAGCAAAAAGTGCCGTTAATTACACACTTCACCAATGTTTCCTGCAGCTCAGCACTTTCAAGTGAGGTCAAATTTTGGATGCAACATGTTAGATGGAGTTCAATATTTTACATACAATGAAGTCTCTTACATATTAATCAAACAGTACATGCACAAGTAAAGCTGTAGGATTCTGAGTGTAATGTCACTGTTTCAGAGTAACTGGGCCATAATACTGCTATCTGATGTGCTGTTGGTCCCAGCACAGACGTACTTGGTATGAAATCTTTGAAAGCCCCCAGCTGCAATACTGCTCCACAGAACAATATAATGCACTTAGCCACAATCCATGTTTTGAAAACTGCAGGCGGCAGGAACACTGAGCTAAATCCCCAGCCGAGGGCGGGGGGAGAAGAGGGGGAGAGGGGAAAGAAAGACAGAAAGAAATAAAAATATACGGGGAAATTTTTTAACATTAAACTTTTCCTTTCTAGACATTTATAAAATTGAATGGCTAATTTTAGAAAACTTCCCTTCAAATATAAGAATATTTTCCTTTTAGGCATCTAATATGGTAAATTTTAAGAAAAAATTGTTACTAATATGAAAAAAGGAAAAACTGGAAACAAAGTCTTTGTAGATAGAGAAGAGTTGAGGGGTTAAAGGGAGGGTGGGGGAATGGGAAAAAAATAAGAGCCAAGAAGAATTATGTAAAGGTGCAAATTTCCAAAGATGAATGTCACTACATTGTATACCTTAAATGTGCCAATAAAATTAATTTTTTAAAAGTGTCACAGTGATTTTCCTAAATGTTTTAAAATTTGATTTTGAAAGTCAGAGCAACAGCTACCACAAAATAGCTTTTATTCTTTTATGGAGATGCTATAAACATTTCTTAGAAATCAAAGGCCATATTTTCAGTTAGAAGAATGTCCCAACTTGACTGTGTGGAGTATTTGGATTATACTTTTCTCCTCTGGACAGCTGGATTCAGAGTTTGCTTTGTGTTTTCCTCTGAACTTCAATTCATTCTTTTCACCTTACTTTCCAGCTATCTGTGCTCCAAGTGGACGCAGGGTCAGCCCGTGAGCTGGGGCTTATTCATCAGGCAGGAGCTGGAATGTTCTGCAGTCAAATCCGTGTGTCACCCTCCCGTGGTTTAACACATCAGTTTCCCTCTTCCATTTACAGAGGGACCAAAGGGAAGGAAAAGGTCCCACCAGCTCAGCAGAAAAATGTTTTCATGGAAACTTGCCAGTCACTGTGCCACTGAGGAAGCATTAGGCTTAAAATCAAACGTTATGGACCTTACTGTCCAATTTTTAAAGGGATGCCTGGGGCATTCTAAAAGGCGGGACTCTCAATTGCCACCATCAATGCCAGTGATGAGCAATGGCGGAATCTGAATTGTACGTCACCATTGTCACTGTGGTAAAAAACACAGGCAGATCCATTTGTGTACTTGCGTCGATTCTGAATAATTCCCTCCATAGTTTGTGCCCTCGTACACCAGTCTGTGGTCCTCTAAAGTTCTTAACCAGGTGTGTCTCCTAGTGTGCAATACTAAGCACTTCCTGGTGTTTCCGTATGTCTGAGTATTGCGGAGAATCCAGGAAAATGTTGGCTGGCGTCTGGGATACGTACATGAACAAGGTGTTAAAAGAAAAGACGCTGTGGTTCTGTGTCAAACAGCAGATATCTACAAATCTAAACACACCCAAATTTCCATTCTGAATTTCCCTAAAATATTTATTAAATAAAAAGCAAGAAGTTATTAAAAATAAGATGTCTAAAGATTAATCTGAGACAGTTCAGACAGGGAAACAGAACAATTATGACTAAAAAATCTTAATCCGAGCCAGGGATTTAGCTCAGTGGTTGCATCGCCTGCCTCACAAGCTCAAGGGCCCAAGTTCGATCCCTGGTACCAAAAAAAAAAAAAAGAAAGAAAAAACCACAAACAAACAAACAAACAAAGCTTCATTCTCTACAGGAACGGGGTGGGCCAGAGCATTTGGATCATGGAGAAGGAAAAGTAACTTGAATGACGCATGGCCATGCTAAGACTTGCTGCAGACATAACTGGATCTGCCCGGGCTGAGTTTTGTTTAGAAAGTCTAACAATGTAACCTGTTTGGTTTGAGGACATGCTACACAGGCAGTGATTAGATTTCCATACGATGAACAGAGGGTGAGGCTGAGGTCTTACACGGGTACTGCATTGGGACATCAGGCACAGACGGGCACACATGTGGAATTTACAGTTCTCTCAGGAGGTCACTGTCTACTGGGACACTTGGTCTCAACCCTGACTGCACCCAGGAATCACCTGCAGCTGTAAAAATGCTGCCACCAGGGCCCCGGAGAGCAGTTCTGACTTCACTGCTCTGTGCACAGCCCGGACATTAGAATTTCCAAAAGCTCGCCAGGTAACTTCAATGCGTGGCTGAGCCACTGGAGGAAACGGTGTCACTTGCAGAAGGAAGAAGAGTCCAGCAAGACAGGTGCGGAGAGCAACTTCAATTAAGCGTTAAGGAGAAACTTGCCCCTGGGTTGTTGGAAGGTATGTCAGCCAGCGCCCAGTCCCAGGAGCATCCACTTCTGTCCTTAACTAACACACTTTCAGAACATGATCGGCTTCCCGATCGTACCTTCCCACCTGATGGGACGTGTCTTCATGTGGCAGCAAGCCCTGCATCTCAAGACCCCCTGATTGTTGTTCAAGCAGACAAGGAACAGCTCCATCTGGCCTCCCTATAGAAGCCGGCTCACATTAGCCACTTGATACACACTTGAGAAATGGCTCAAGTTGCTCACAGGTGTGACTCCAGTTCCTCTGAGCACCATTATGGTCTCTTGCCCATAGCTGATTAGATCTTGGAACATACCAGAAGATGACACTATGTGGATGTTCCATCAGAACCTCATTATCCTACCTTAAAGGTTTCCAATTATTGTGACATGACACTGAGCAGTGGCCCACAGGCTTAAGACCAAAACATTTTTTTCTGGAAAAATTAATCAAATCAGATTTCAGAAATGTTACCAATGTAACTTTGCCTTCTAACTTGACAGTAATAGTTCCGCTTATCACCTGCCCTGTTCGTGAAATCACTTAAATTGACACCAGCAGTGTACAGTACCAGGTAAGAAAGGTTTCTCCTTGTCAACCATAAGAATGATTCTGATGCTCTGCCCGTCTACAGAAAGCAACGCATGGTCTTGCTGGAAGGAAATTAATGTCAGCACAGGCTTTTGAGTTCACACGAGCAATCCTCCTAGTACTCAAGACTTCACCGGGGGACTAGCGGCTTTCTCCTCACCTTCTGCTGACAGGACCCTAACACAGGCTGACCTGGTACGGAGGAGCTATGACACCATGGAGACAGCTGACAACGCACACACCTCCATCCGGGACAGCTCCAGCACTGGCCAGGATCTGGGGTGTTGACAGGGGTGGAGAAATGGGAAACTGGGGACTCATCACATTTGGTTTTTCCCTGCATTTCAGAAACTGGGAAAGGGAAACCTGTAAGTTTTAGAAGAAAAGTAAAGAAATGCCCCTGGTCTCAACCCTAGCAGAAAGAACAAAAAAAAAAGCAATAAATAAAAATATTAAAGGGTCTGGGATGGGCCTAGGTCCTGTGTCAGTCATTCAACAGCTGTATAGCTTTGAGAGAGCCACTTGAGCTTCAGGGCCTCAGTTTCTCATCTATAAAATGAGGATAACAGCAACTACTGTACTTCTATGAGGTTGCTCTGAAAATTAAATCAGACAATATAATACCACAATGCTTGCAGAGCCAGCTCTCGGTACGTACTTATCACCAGCTGTTGAGTACAGCACAAGATTGAGGGAGAAAATACTACTTTAAACAGGAATGTTATCAGAACAAGGAACTTGTTAGGAATGCCTTAACAGAAGAGAATGCTCTCATGTTTTTTTTTTTTTTTCCTGTGATTCTGTGCCTGTAATTTTTTGGAACATGGAAATTCTTGGGGGTGGCCACGCTAGCAGGGTCCTGTTACTGAAAGCAATTCACAAAGCAAGATATGTGGGGAAGAATTAAGAAAATAGGAGCCTGATCAACTCATTATTTCCCTGAACAAATGTAAAACATGACTCCTAAATGTGGCAGTGTCTTAATAGCTCCCTAGAACTGCTTCTAAATGTCAGATTTAGCACAAGGGCAAACAGGAAATTCTAATGTAAGTACTGATGTTAAAACATTTAATGTGTCACGAGCATGGGGTCCTTGGTCCCTGGGTGCAAGACAAGTGTCCCGCTCACCCACCCCTGCTCTTCTCACGGCACCCACTTGTTATATGACCTGCAGATGAGTGAAGGCCACGGGCAGGGTGTCCATGCAGCCTGCTGCAGTCTCAAGGATTTCCCATCTGACATTTCAAAAGTCAAGCGCTAGAATATGAAGTTTTTAGCAGAGCCAGGGATTCAGCTCAGTGTTGCTGCCATCTGCCTGGCAAGCACAGGACCTGGGTTCCATTCCTGGTACCAATAATTTCTCAAAATGCTCTTAGCACTGAGAACACACACACCCATACACACACACACACACCCATACACACATGCGTGCACACACAAATTTTGTTACAACTGCACCAAGGATATTCACAGATTCAAAATTATAGTTATTTATAAAAAATGTTGGCTATAAAATATAAGATTTCCTTTCCCAATGTTCTACTTTAATAAAAGTGCTACAAGAAATTTTGAAAATCTTACCTCAAAAATTTCAAAGCCATAAATGTCCAAAACGCCCATGACCTTCTTTCTTACTTTCGTTTGTGCCTTGAAAACAATTTAAAATTACTGAATCAGTAAAGCATTCAATGAACACACACATCTAAGTAAATGGTTTTTTCTTAACTATGAGAACAACTGTAATTTAGTGGGCTTTTTTAAACTTACAAGATAGGATATTGGTATGAAATCTAAAAAACATTGCTGGTGCTTATTTCATAAAAGGGGCGGGAGAGAACACTGACTAACTGCACAAGAGACAGAGCCTTCAAGATCACCCAGTTGAACATCCCTGTTTTAACGAAGAGCACGTTAACCCTCAGAAAGCGAGGTGACTTTTCAGCCAAGTGCATGCACACAGTTACCAATGCGCCAGGACTTCTAGAGTGAGTCCACAAAGGCTTCACCTTAGCCTGTCTGTCACCGGGAGTCACAGCCAAATGAACAGAATCCTCAGTTTTCTGCCTTGCATCAGGATAAATTCTCTTTTGTTTTTTTAGTGGTAATCAATTATCTGACTAAAACTAAACTTTATCCAGCTTAATGCTGATACTACAGTGTGAATGCCACTTACTACAGCTGACTCCTGTACCTACAGAGATCCATACCTTAATGCTTTCGTTGATTCGATTTACCAACCATGAGAACAACCTGCTGTAGAGGTTTTTAGCCAGAGCATCTCGGGCATAATAAGCCTATTAGCAGAAACAGAAGAATTTAAAACCCACAAATACCACGATGCTTCACTTTCTTAAAATACTGGAAATATTTTTTTAAATATTTAAGACCCTTTAATTTCAAATTTCTTTTAGAACCAGTTTTTATTATATGCTGGATAAGCACTCAAGCCATTAATTAGGCAAATTGTTTATAGACAGTTATTGTAATTTTTTGCATCCAAGAACCTCATTTTAAATCCTGTAAAAGCCTTTGTCACAAAGATACTTATTCTCAATGTTACAGGACAGAGAAAACCAGAGGCAATTTCTAAATCCAACAGTGAAATAGTAAAATACTACACACTCGTTGAAAGAGATGATCATCACAGAGTAATCGCTATGAAATTAATGCAGTTTGGAAAAATGTGTTTAAATACTTATAAAACATATTTTTGAAAATTACACATAGGAAAGGAAATACATTAAACGGCTCCGACTGATGGCATTGTTAAATTTTTCTTCGTTCAATTAAGTGTTCTCTAAAAATCTTCTACAATGAATTGTTTAAATTGTGTAACGACAATAAAATCATTCTTATGTGCTTAATTATGTGGTTTTAATTTGTCAAAGAAGAGGCAGGTACATGTATGTCTTTATTTTTTTTATTTTTTATTTTTTTGATACCAGGGATCGAATTCAGGACCTTGCGTTGTGAGACAGGCGGTGGCACCACTGAGCTAAATCCCCAGCCCCTGTCTTTATTTTTTGATGGTGCTTGGGACCAAACCCAGGACCTCATGCAGGACAGGCAAGCGCTTTACACTGAGCTACATCCCAGCCCAGCATGTAAGTCTTAATGACAACATCCAAGACTTGAACAAGTTAGGTGCGGCAGGAACAGCCCTGCTTCCCCAGCTGGAGGAGGTGTCCAGTGGTAGCGACAGAAAGAACCAGTGACAGATTAACACCAGCCCTCCCGCAGTGGAGTCAGTAGACTGAGAAGGATCAGAGAGAGACACGGGCAAGCCCCCTGCTGCCATGTACGCGTCTGCTTTGCTGCTCACAAGTAGTCAGCTGTTACTGCTAAAGTACATTGGTACATTTTTATTTCACAACCTGTTTGATTATGCGGGGATGACTGCTCCGCAAAGGTGAAACAGTAACAACTTTCCTAACATGCTCACTTTCCTGACCCCACAGCTCGAAAGAGAGACCCTTCCCCTTCACCTGACCTTCTGTACTCACTCTGAACCTCCCACCCCACATCTAAGACAGCAATGCCGACCAGAAGTTGAAAATACACCCAGAATTTGGCCAAAGAAGGGGGTGGATAGTTTCTCAGCAGAAAATGTGTGTAAAATGCTGAAACACAGAAAGAAGCCAAACTATAATTTGGGCACAGAGCCTTTCCCCAGTACCCTTCCTTCTAGTTTTCAGGCTTTCAAAATGTAAGCATCATGTGATTTGTCGAGGACAGCTACTCTCTCTGGAGATCGATAAACAGAGCTAGGGAGATCTTTTTCAAATCGTAAGGGGAACAAGGGACAGAGGAGAGGGGGAGAGGGGAGGGAGGGAGGATTTAAAGAGAGAGAACGGAAGAATAAATGGAAATAGAGCTTTTGCAAATGGGAAGATGAGAGTCGGATGATGGCCCCGCGGTAAATGTAATCATTATGCACTGCAAAAGTGGGCTAATAAAAATATGAATAATAAAACACACAGTCCAACCGCTTACACCAGGGCCCGGCACATGGTCTACAGATGCATTTATATTAAGACTTTTGAAGCAATTACTTCCTCTGTTTCTTCATGGGCCCACACAGTGCAACTGCTTAACCTCTGCCTTCTCACGAATTCAAGTCCTCTCAAAGCACCAGTGTTTGCAAATAAATCTTTCACCCTGATGTGTCACCCAGCTGTCTCAGTCTCAGGCTATTGGCTTGTACCACAGCGCCATTTCAGTGAGCAACTGCACCAACAGGGACAACCTATCCCGGGAACCGGCGTTCTGGTCTTTGACGCGCAGTCACAGGCAGCGTCAGCCTTCTCTGTATCTTTCACACAAAAGTCGGTCCAGGGGCCTCAAACTCAAATGCTTCAACGACAGTGGGATGAAAGTGAAGGGGAAGTACATCTGGAGGGGTGGGAGGCGCATTCCAGGTTAAAGACACTCAAATTCAAAATTTAAAAGCAAAGAAAGGGAAAGAAAAAAACCAAGCCTTTGTCAAATCAAATAATGCCAGCTGGGCGTGGTGGTGCACGCCTGTAATCCCAGCACTGGAGAGGCTGAGGCAGAAGGATCGCTATGAGTTCAAAACCAGCCTGGACTACATAGTGAGTTCCAGGTCAGTCTCAACTACATAGTAAGACCCTGTCTCAAAAAACCAAAAAATAAATAAATAAACAAACAAACAAATAAATAAATTAAATTAAATTAAATAATGCTGACTGAGCTCTGTGGGGCACAAGGGGCTGCCTATTTGCTGCCCCTGACTTCCTGAGCCTGATCCATGCTCCTGGTCACCACAACCACACCCTATGGCTGTAAGGGCACCAGTAAGTGTGCAGAGACGAGGGGACATGCCAGGTATGCGGGTTCACCGCCCTGGACTCCAGGCTCACTATGAAAAGACTACGCAATTCTGCAGCTGAATGAAGAGTTCAAAAACTTCTGCCTTAAAGGTGAGGCCTACTCAGGACAGGATGTGCTAAGCAAGGTGGAGACAGAGACACCCGGACGCATGCCTGTCTTCCTTCCAGGAGCTTCCTGGAGAGACCAAAGCAACACAAGTGAGACAACCAGAGGCCCGAGGCCGCACTGCAGAGAAAAAACTCAGAGAAGACAGGGCCTGGCGTCTATTCAATCAAGGGAGCTCCCTGGATAGGGTGCACTTAGATAGGCAGGAGATAAGCAAAGGCACCAGGCAAAAACAAGCATGGTGAGTAGGGAACTGGAAGGCCCCAAACGGAGATAAACCCTGAGGTCAGATTACTGAGGGCCTTCGTGGCCAAGGACAGAGCTTCGCCATAGAAAGAAAACGATAAACTGCCTGAGTTTGCATTGTTTCAGTATTAGACATCCTATCTGGGGAAAGATCTAAGAGCTGTGGGGGTAAATGAGGCACAAGGCAATAAAGAGGATACCAGACCCCAAGAATGGAAGCTATGAGGAAAAGTTAATAAAATAAATCACTTCCTGCAGGAATCAAAACCAATCAGGAAATAAGATCAGGAGAATTAGATACTCTGACTCCATTCAAAAGAACAGAACTCAACTAAGGTGCTGAAAACCTGAGGGTTTTGAGCCAAATTCTTTCATGGCAAAGGTTTAAAAATGTGGAGAGTTGCACCCTGTGCAACAAGGTAACTCAAGAAAGCTCATCAAATAAGAGGCACCCGGACCTGGTTTCTGCAGAGCAAAATACACACTAAAAACAGACCTGAGAGACATAAATCGCCTACCAGGACTCCCTACAGGGCACAGGCTTTTCACGGCATCTCCTAGGCTGGCATTACAAACCCCCAACTTATCCCAACCACACTGTTCCAAATCCTCTTCCCAAATCTAAGCTGCAGCAAAGCCTCACCCATCACAGCTCTTGCTCCTGCTATGCGCTCCAACCCTGGCTGTTCTCAATGCTTTCTTTTGGAAATGCCCTGCTGCCTGCTCTTTGCACACACGAACCCTTCAGTTTCTCCACTGAGCCTTCCGTAGTTCCTTATTTTTCTACTAAGGGCCCACATGGGGGCTTTGTGCTGTGCAGGCTTTCAACATTTTGGGGGAGGATGGGAACGGAACCCCGGGCTTTTGCACTGAGCTACATTCTGAGCCCTTTATTCTGCAACAAGGATTTGCTAAGTCACTTAGTTGCCTAGGCTGGGCTAGAACTTGTGATCCTCCAGCCTCCACCTCCCAGAGTGCTGGCTGGACTACAGGCTTGTGCTACCACACCCCCAAATGAGCATTTCCTGCGGAAATCAGGTACAATCGGACCCGCAAGCTGACCTGCCTTGACAGCAAGAGCAGTCATTTAGCAGGGGAAACAGACAACAGCTCCAGCTAGGGGAGGACTGCAAGCAACCAGTCTCCAGATACAAAACCAACCTCTCACCACCACTGGGTGGGCGGCATTCTTCAGGGAGCGGAGGGAAAGCATAGCTCAGACCACACCACAGATGAGGATGAACTCCGCCCTTCGGACCTACAGAGCGAAGGCTAGTTAGGAGGAGGAGGAGGAGACAGAAGAACGTAGCTGAATAAACAAAGCAGGCCCAAGTAGGAAAGTCCTGCACTAGTCCTGAGATTCCAGCCCAGATCAGCACTGAGGTGGGAAAAGGTCCGAGCCCCAGGAGGAAAAGTCTGCTTCCAGGACTCCACACACAGCCTCGGAGGCATGATGCACGCAGCCATCCAAGCATCCATCCGCTTCACTGAAGCAAAGGGAGAGAAGGTGACAGCTCGCTCTCTCAGTCGAGTGAGGGATGGGAAGGCCGGGACTCCAACTTGGCCATCGGCCCACAAAACTCACTTCTCCCACTGTCGTCCCCAAATCAGGAAGCAGCAACTTCATTGTTCTAGTAGCTTGGGCCCAAAACATTTAGTCATCCCTGACTCTTCTACCAAGCCTCAAGGCTTTGGCAAATCCCAGTGCCTCTGCCTCTGACAGGTCCAGAACAGGGGACCACCTCTCACCCACTACCTGTGACCACCAGGTTCAAACCGCCAGCATCTCGGGGTTGGGGGCACCTTGACAGCTTCCCTGCTTTTCCCTCCCTCCCACACCTCACTGTCTACACCCAGCCAGGATGACCCTCCAAACACAGGGCTGATCAGGGGCCTCGTCGCTCTGACCCACCCAGCCGTGCCTTCAAGTCGCCCTTGCTCTGCTCAGCTTTTCCTTTCGGTCATTGCCCTCACCTGCTGCCACCTTGCTATGCCATGTGGCTATTACATCTGCTGTTATTCTCCAGCTTTCCCTTCCAGGATGTGAAGCTCCATGTGAAGCAAGCAGAGGCCCTTATTTCGCACTCTAGCCCCACGATTGACCCACCTGAGCCACATTCAGAGTGGTGGAAACTTTCTCCTGCTTGGCTTCCACTGTTCGGAAACTGAACGCGCGTTCTAGGACGGACTGATCAATGCCAGTCAACTCGCAAATTTCTTTTAACTCTGTTGGGGACAGGGGAAAATGGGCAAGAAAATGACTCTGCATGCTGCTAATAATTATTCCCAAGGCCGAGGCTGTTCCAGAATCGCACTCAAACCCATCAGCCTAACGTGATAAAATTAGAAGGATTAAGGCTTGTCTGCCATTATTACTTTGGTTTGGATTCACTAGAAAGTTTTTCCCAACCAATGCAAAGCATGAGTTTAATTTTCTTGACGAAAGCCTGGGCAGAAGCTCAAGGCAAGTTTCCTAAACAGAGCTGAGACTCCAGACTTACCATTTTTATCTTTGATTTTGCTTTCATCTAAGCCGTTCACTCGCGATTCGGGCTTGAACTCGATGTTCCCCAGTTTCAACACTGCTGCCACCACCTCCAAGACCGACTCGGCTTCGTGATCCATGAAGCCCACAATCTGCATGGCGTTCTGGGGAGAGAGAAGCAGCAGCTGCTTTCTTTATCTCTTGAAACAAATCAATCGGATTTCTTTGGGGGGAGGTGGTAAACATCGTAAGATAAGGCTGCTATCGTGCTGGGTGGTATCTGACTGTGAGTCAAGGGCCCCAGGCGTCTCGCACGCTGGGCAGAGGGGGAAGGGGAGGCTGGAGAAGCAGCCTGCGGTCCACTTCCCCATGGCGGCTCTGTCTGGGTGAGCGTCATCTCCCACGTGGGGCTCTGCTACTGGAAACAAAACCAAACAAGATGCACCTACAACGCCCCAAAGAGAAGACCTCCTCAGTGATTCTGCATACAAGAAAACCCTGGTCATAGAGGTAAAGCACCTCCTCCTGAGACACTACGGGCCCAGGGGCCCTTGCTCAGCCATGAGCCTGGATGGAGCGCCAGCTATGTGCTGGGCACAGTGGTTACAGAACCAGGCTCGGACATGAGTCCTAACTAAGACCATGTCCAGGAGTCAACAGTCTACTGCTTCCATATGAGCAGTTATACAGTTTTTTAAAAGGCAGGCTCTGTGAGATGCTTTCTTTTTGAGAACAGCTGGCATTTTTTGTGAGTGTGAAAAAGAGAGAGACTCCACAGCAGTGGGAGTAATGCAGTTTTTGGTCTGTTATGGAAAATTTCAGATATATACAAAAGTAGAAAGAGCCAGGGAAAGAATCCTCACATCTTTTTCTTCCCCCACAACGATAAACAAACAGCAATCTTGTTCTACTTACAATGGGACCTCAGCTCCCCGTCCACCACCACCCCAGCTGCCTCGTTGGAAAGTAAATCCCAGTTAACGCATCGTGCCATAATAGGACTAATTTTGAAAGTACGTGCCACTGAACGACAGAAAATGGAGTGCGAGGTGAAGTCATTTCTCTAATGAAACCGGAATGTTCATCGTTCTGGTTTATACTTCAGTTTTCTAAACTGTGTAAAAACAAGATTTTCTGTCTCAAAAACAGTTGGGATTTAATAAGATCCAAGGGCAGTTTTCACACTTAGAAATTAATTCTGGCTATAAAACTTTGGCTATAAAACATGTGGAGTTTAAACACGACATTAAAAGAGTCAAATCTCAGGATAAAATATGAAAGCTCCTTTTGATAAAGGGTGAAGCTTCGAGTGTTCATAAAGCACCGCCTCTGCAGCTAGTGAAAAAACCAAACTAATAAAAACCTGACAAACTCTTGTGTAATTCTCAAACCTCAGGGAGGAGCATGAGTTACGCTTTAAAGAAAATTCAGCATTGTTAGCAGTTCTGACTGGGCAGTTTAGCGTCACCCGTTTTAAAGTGTAACGAAAGCATTTCCCGTACCCTGACGGTTCTGAAATTGGCGGCGTCATCCACTCCGTTCACTTTGGCCGAGTCCAGACTCAGGTAATTGTATCTGCTGAAGTCCTGCTCCAGCTTGAGTTTGTCTGTTGGGTCACATACAAATGGGTAAGGGACTCAGTAAGTCATCCTCAACATTTCATTTCTAATTCTTCTGCCAAGATGACTTTCTAATTGAATCAACAGAACAAAATGTAGCGTTTTCCTGAAGTCACCTTTACCACGGCATTGTTCAAACCCTGCTTTCTCACATTTATGCTTCACGAGTGATCCCCTTTCCACACTTTTAGGACGGGAAATGTGTTCAATGTACTACTCCACTGTAACAAAGGATTTCTGCTTAGGGATTCTCTCAACGCCGCCTAGGTGGGTTCTCTCCTCTTTTCAGTAAATTTATTTTTTGATTCATTTGGCTTATTCTGCGGGACATCTTGCAAAGGGCGGTGTGACTGTGTAGCAGGCTCTCATCGTCTGTGCTCTTAGCAGAGGCTGCCGCAGTCCCTCAGGAGAGGGTCAGCCCTCTGAAGTCAGCAGACAGCAACAACCGCTAACTTTAAACTTCTGAATACCTTTTTCTTACAGGCATACAACGGACGCTTCATGCTGTTTTAATGAGCATCTGTTGCACATTATTATTATTATTAGGATTATTAGGATGACTCTTCTCTTCGAGGCTGGCTGACTTCTCGTAACTCTTCACACCGGACTATTTATTCAGTATTTTTCATCACTTAGCTATTGGCTCTTGGGGTCTATTGCTGTGGCACGCTAATCCTCTAAAATATCCAAGTGTCAGGATTTTATCTCTTGTATCAGCTGCAAAGCTAGCCCCCCTTTCTTTTTGGTACTGAGGATCAAACTCAGGTCCTTTCCCCATTATTTTTAAACCCTCACTGAGCAACTTGATTTTACGTAATTATACTCATTTACTGCTCTCTGCTAAAATTCTCTCTCCACATGAAATATTCTCGTATTTTGTGTTTTAAATGTGTAATTGGCCGCTCTGGTTCCAATGGGCTCCTTTAACTCATCTGAGACGCAGGGCCCAGTCTAATGAGGTGCAGGGACAAGACACGGATTCGGGTGTCAGCAGGTACGAACATACCACATTCTCTCCCTTGAACTGACGCATGGAAAAGTCTCATGAAGGGAGGGAAAAGCACAGGGAAAGCGCTGTGGCAACACAAATTAACACCCCGAAACTGAGCTTACGGAGGAGCTCTTCAGAGGCACCAGAGAGCAGCTGATAGAACACGTGGAAGTTCCTCTCTCCTCTCGGCTGCTTAACCACCCGGGATTTCTCTAAAAGATCTGAGGAGAGAAGGGATTAAGTCAGAAGAGCCCATGTTCACTTTCAGGTCCACCACACTCCTTCCCTCCCTCTCGTTTTCTTCTTCTGTGTTTTTGTAACAGTCCAAGTTACATTCTCAGAGCTACTTTCAGAAAGCAGCACAAATCTAACTAAAATCACCAGTTCTTTTAAAACAGGGAGTATGCAAACTAAGCTACATTCAACGAGCTCATTAAACCAACTGTTTTTAATTCTAATACTCTCTTGGGTTCTAATGATGACAATGAACTTTTCAAAATGCAACATTACAAATGTAAGCAATGAGGAGCAGCCATTCCATGATGAATCAGTTTAATAATAATAATAATAACAAGGTTTAAATCCTATCACATCCTTCAGACACTGTCTCAGTGAATCCTCCCAAGTGTTTGATAAGGTTGCCATTTTACAGCTAGAAACACTGGCCGACCGAGAGTGTAAAAACTCAGTGGTAACTGGTGGTGGACTTGTGGTTGGGCCACAGGACCCCACAGCAGGCTCTTCCTGGTCCCCAAATACCCCGCCACCTGGGAGAAGTAAGCCCAACTGTTCTGGATATCGCAATCCTGGGAGTTTGGGGTCATGTAACAGTGTACTTTCACTGATCCCAGGTAATTTTCCATTTCACAAATTTAAAGTCTTATCAAGATTTCAGACTCCATATCCATAAATGAAAAAAGAAAAAAGAAAACAAGGGAGTCAAGGTAGCAGCACAATGCCAAGGGCAAAGCACAAAATTTCTGCCCACACAGTGCTGCTAACCTCTCACCAGTCAGGGTCCACGCTATGCAGCAAAAGGCCAATTTCAGCTTTAAGATTCCAGATCAGCTATCTCATTACTGAGAACCACACAGCGGGTTCCCAGTAACCCTGAAATCTAAAACGTTATTTCAAAGGAGAGAAGGCAAGGTGTGCAGTCCTTCCAGGGACACTCACTGAAGTTCTGGGGCTCAATGGAACCACTTAGTGCTCACCCAGTGCAGGCCAGGAACCCCTGGGGGCAGAGCCCAGACCCCATTGCAGACGTGAAGACTCTCCACCTGCAGGTCACACATGGACCCGGGTACTCACACCCTCCCCAGACTGACAGCAGCAGCAACTGTCCAGGTAAGACGACAAGGTGCTTAGGACAGTGCAGGGTGGGGAGGGCAGGTGACCACCAAACCCTGGCTATGCCCACAGCCCTAAGAAGCTGGCCACCTCCCTCCAGTGTGGCTCCTCCCACGAGCCCAATGGGGGCTCCCCAAGTATGGTGGCAACACATCCACAACAAGCATGACACTTCAGGACATCAGCTCACACCCTCAGAAGGCATATGCCAAATCTGGCCATGCTGTGTGACAGCAACACGCTGGCCAGCCTAGTGTCTGGCACTTGCAACCAATGCTCACAGGTCAGGGGGAGTCCAGAAAGAGCAATGGCTAAGACTCAGAAGAGAATCACCAGGGGTTAAAGAGTAACATTCGCTTGCGCGGATATGAAAGGAATGTTGCCCAAATGCACTTCTTGAGCCACGCATATTGATATAATCAGCATTCATCACCATATCCAAATATAGGTTTAACAAAACGGGTGACAGAAAGAAAGGTGCAGGGGAAGTAGAGGGAACTTACAACTGGCCTTCCGCTCAGCACTTGTGCTTTTTTGATACCACATTCCGCCCTGAACACCTCCACGGTGGCCCTACTTTATAGATGAGAAAAACTGGCTCATGTCATACCCTTGCAAGTGACAGAGCCAGAATTCAAAATGCTGGGTAATTAGGGTATCAGGTTTAAGCTACACAATTTTCCAGCCCAAAAGAGAATGCAAAATCTTTGCACACTTGGAAACACTGTACTTTATAGGAAATAAATGACTTCACCACATAACCTCATCACAAGGTGAGGAATCTTTTATTACAAAGCAGTTGAAGGTTTCACCACTTACAATGTTTACTCTATTACCTCAGGAGCCTCCTATTTCAGTTTATGACTTTTCTCGTAAGTCACGGGTTTCCAGGTAGAAAAGTAATTAGGGAAAATGCCCCCCCCTCGCCAAATAATTTACTGATACTTAAAACCTTTCCCTCCTGGTATTTTTTTCGAAATGTTCATACACCAAACACAATCTAACAGCAGGAAGACATATCAAATAATTACTCAAAGTAGAGAACATAAACTCAGTTCCCCAAAGGGACTTAGCACCTGACCATTTTAATTTACTTAAATGTGCCCCAGGATCCAGTCAAAGCAGAATACTGGCACAGCCCTTTCCTCTTGCCTCTGTGGACCGAGCCTCTGCTAACAAGATTTAGTGAGAAAGAGTTATTACCATGTGCTAGTCGTCTAGTACAGCAGAGAGATGATAAAATTCCCTGGATATTCCCTCTTGAGATGTAATGCTGTTTATATTCACTTTAATAGAAATTTACACTTTAATGGGAGAGAGAAGCTCATTGAGCAGTTTATTCTAAGGGAAACATAAAAAGAGTAGAGACAAAGAAATAATAGCTGAGGACCTGCTCTTCTCCCCCAAGGTGCTATTACTACCTGGCAATTAACACAAAAAAACCTAGGTCATTTTGAGGCCATCTTAATTTTGAGTCATCACCAGGGAATCCACCACATGGTCACGTGCCTGCATGTGGGCATGGCCCAGGACAACTTCCCCAGAGAGCAGTGTGTGAAAGAATACCATGTCCACAAATGCACCCGCTGAAGATAAAGATTTTCTATTGGCAAAGGAATAGAAAGAATAAAAGGGTTGAGAAGGAGAAAAAAAATACCACTCCCTTGGGGCATAATGTTCAAAGGTAGGAAAAAAGGGTATCATATGCATAATCTCCTGTCCTGGAGAAAAACTGGTCCAAGTTCTTGATGACGGCTTAAGAATCAGCTTTGTCTCAGTTTTGCCAATGGGGTCACAGCGACAGTGAAAACACACCGAAACCCTTGGACTCAGAACGCTGACCCCTCATGGACACCCTGTGCCTGCTTCCAACTGCTCCAACAGAAACATCTGAAGAGAGAATCTTACAGCACTTAAGTTCTTCTGATGGATTTCCACCTCTTCATTAAAGCAAAAGAATACACTAAACAAGCATCTGCCTGTCATCTAAGTAACTATAATTTTTCTACCTTTTCCTCCTTGAAAAAAAGTGTCAATTAGCCGCTGAGTTATAGGGCACAACTTATGGTAGCTTCAGTGGAGAATTCTGAGTATGAACTTACTTTATTTATTCAGTTACTTATTTTTACTCATACATGTCTGCAGTACACAGTACATAAATAATTACACTCATCGTGGGGAGTTGGCTCATGGACATAAAATACCTTAACTCATCTTACTTCCTCTCCCCTCCGTCTCTAAATCCCTTTCCCACTTACAGAAGACTATCTCCCTGCTTCCTATTATCCATCCTCTACTTTAGTCTTTAAATTATCTATACTTTAGGTTTCTCCTAAGAGAAATCATGTGGTATTTAAGCTTGTGTGTCTGATTTATTTCAATTAACATTACAATCTCGAGTTACATCCATTTTCCTACAAATGACTCAAGTTTATCCTTCTTTATGGCAGAGCAGGACTCTAATATATATGAACAACACCTTTTCTTCATTCATTCACCTGCTGAGGGACATACAGGCCACTTCCAAGATTTAGCCATTAACAGCTGTACTGCTATTAACGTGGGTAGGTGTGCAACACTGTGATACATCTTTAGCTCTTTTAAGAAGATACCTATGAGGGGAATATCTGGGCTGACTTACATTTACTTAGGGACTGGCCCCAGGACCTCTGCAATGAGCTACATCCCCAGCTCTTTTTTATTTTGAGACAAGGTCTCATGAAATCACCAAGTTACCCAGTCTGGGTTTGAACTTTCAATCCTCCTGCCTCGGTGCCCCAGAGTGCTGGGATTGCAGGTGTGTGCCCCCATGCCCAACAACCAAGTCTAAAATCATTTCTAGGAAAGAAAAGAAAATCACCTCTATACTTTCAGAAAGGAGGCAACATCAATCCTGGAGAGTGACAAGTAAGAAAGCTTACTAATGGAAGATTAAGATGATCCAGCACATGTATTCTTACAAACCATCCGTTGTGCGAGCTTTTACAGTCAGACACCAGGTGCAAAGGCAGATCCAGGGCTGTTTGCAGTCAGGTTCTGAGGGACCTGCATCTCCTAATGCGCATGGACATCATGAACTCTCCCTCCACCCCAGTGCGCTTTGCAGGCACCTTAATCCGTGCGAGGCTCTCACTCAAAGTAAGTATCCTGAAGTTATAAAGTCAGCACTAATGAGAGAGCTGGACACACGACAGGAGAAATGCTAGGAGCGCATAAGAGTCTATTCATGAAAATGTAGCTTGGGCTGTAAGGCATTAAGATAACTTGGCTAATGATATCCATGATTGCTGCTTTTTATTAGGATAGTTGCATATACACAGTATACATTTTCACAATAGATTGTTTTCTGATGCAGTTTGCTATCTAATAATTGAAAATTTAGTCACGAATGAATGTGAATCTAAAATTCTAGTCCCAACCCTGAGATAAAGTTGAGATATCCTTAGTATTTTATCATTATGCATACTACCCTTGTACACAGATTCATTCTTTATATGAGATTTAGGTATATCTGAATACCTAGTTTCTTCTTCAATGGTACGTAGCCTTCTTTCATGCTAACCATACAGTTTTTTGTCATGGTGAAGTAAGTTTTGTTTGAAACAAAAGAAAACACCAAACCAAAATCACGACAAAGGAAAGGATCTACTTTTCTCTGAAGTGATCCATCACTGAGTAACTGACCTGTTCTTTTGGGCTGTCATTTTGATAGCTATACACACTTCACAGTGTTATATGTTTTCTTAAAGAGCTTTAAAAATCAAAATGCTAAGAAAGAAAAAAATAGGTCATCCTAATATCACAAACTGGGTAATGCATTCTTAGTTTTTTTTAATAACACAGATCAAAAGCAGAGACTGCAGACTGGAGAATATTCGACAGCTCCGGAGAGCCAATTCCTGTCAGGGATCCCAAGTTCACCTCAGTGGACAGAGGCCCAGGACACAAAGAGCGCAAGGCTTCCTAGAGGACCTGATGTAACAGTTTCCTAATCGATGACTTGCCATCAAGCATCACAGACATGATCTATGTTCTAAAGTGGCAGGACTGAGCCACTCATCCAGACGGAACAACGGCCATGAGGCGGGCGGCAGGCACACGGTAATAATCATGAACTCAAATGAAATGTGAGAAAGGGGGCACACGGAGCCGTCTGCTCCGTCCCCTACCTCCCCTGGGAAGGGAGTGCTCACCACCATTTCCCTGGGAGGGGTCGGGAGCTTGGCCCTCTCTCAGCCTCAGGAACAGGAGGAAGACGGAGCTGGGCGGCGAGTCTGGAGAAGGACGTGGGTGGGTATGCACAGGACCCCAGAGTGGCTCACAGGGCCCCCACTTTACCCTCTAAGTCTCCAGGGCAGCAAGAATACCTGGAACATACTCCGATCCCAACACCTCTCTGCCTTCCTACTCCACAGGACCAGAGAAATAGATGAAGCTGGACTTCCAACTTTACTGGGATTTAGAAAAAGTCTTTAAAATTATCCCAAAATCATTAACGTGGAATATGCAGATAAAACGAATAAAGCAAAAGCTTTACCAACCAATTTCTCAACTGTACATAATTACTTATATGCTTGTTAACTATCAAATATATATCAGACGCCAGATATTATTTTAGTCACTGGTCACTCAGCAGTAAACCAAGCTAAGAGCTTGGTTTCTACAGAGCATATATTTTGTGCAGGGTTAGATACAGGAACTAAATCAGTATTTAGTAGTAAAAAATGCAAACATTTATCAAGTGTTTACCACGTGCTAAGCACCACAACGACTGCTATAGATGTTGAGGTGACTAAGGTAGACTGTCAACTTGACTGGTTTGGGGTCAGTGCAGGTGATTAGTAAAGCACATTTCTGGATGGTGGTCATGCAGCCGTGACCTTGGGGACTGTATCTGGTCCCCCACCCCTTCCTCACTGGTACTGTTCCCCCACTCTGCTTCCTGGCTACCATGCACTGAGCATCTCTCTTCTGCCAGGCCCCTCTGCAATGATGTTCCTGCTCTGGAGCCTGTCAACCATGAACCAAATCGTCTGAAACCATGAACCAAATCCTCTGAAACCATGAACCAAATTAAACTTCTCCTCCCTGGGACAGGAAAACTGACTAATACAGATACTAACAAATAACTAACACCTCATACAACCTGAGGTAAATGTTATTATCCCATTTCAAAGATGAAAAACAGAAGTACAGAGAATTCAGAACTGGGTGTCTTTTGTTGGAAATCACCTGATAAACCAGTAAGTGTGGCATAAATAGGCTCATGTATATGCCCCAAATAATGAAACAAGAAATACAGGGGCTGCCTGTAATAAACCAGTCCCTTCTCATTTCCAGCAGCCACACACCTACTATGTGCCAGGTGCTACACTAGGCTCTTGATGCCCTAGTGAACTGGACAACCTTATTTTTTGTCCTTAGTCGACACAGGTACACACTTAAATCACAATGAGTTATTTCATGTTCTTATTTGAGTATCTGTGCTATTCTTATTTTAGGAGATAAAAACCCCACGAAGGTGTATATTACTTTTTCTCTATGGTCTAAAATTGCCACAAAGATAAGGCTCCTGGGACTGTTAATAAAAACAGGTTTCTAAAAGCTTCTGGTGCCTAAAACTAGATAAAAATCTTCAAGTACAAATTAAGTATCAGGAGACCAACAAGCCTTAACGAAGTCAGAGGGATGCTACTTCAGATCAGCTGAACATCTGGATTACTTTCAAATTTTATCTTCTCTATTAAAGCAAATGTTTGTCATCTTCTATTTTAGCAACATCTCTCTCTTAATAACACTGACTTTTCAGTGAGCTCCAGACTTACATCTTATAGCATTATGTCTTTTAGAAAGAGAGAGAGAGAGAGAGATGAGCCTGGCCTTTCTTTTCCACTTCTTGGGATACAACTGGCTGGAGGGTTCTCCGATCTTTCTCAGGGTAATAATTTTAGCCAGTAACAGTCTGAGTTCTTCCAACGCAGCTGCTAAAACAGAAGGAACATATACTTCCTACAAAATGGCAACTCTTGGCCTCTTTTCCAGACTACAAGAGGCCAATTTCAGGAATGGGAGCGGACGGGAGTGGACCTCCTCATTGCTTTACATCCCCAGAAGCCACCAAGCGCAACTGCCAGTGACCAACTATGAGTCAGTCCTTCAGCTACACAGGGTCACATCTCCTGCCCTCACCACTTATGTGTTCCTTTTTGCTCAAAGTGAAGGATACTCTCAAATACCAGGGTGTTTCCCCTACCACAAATTTCAATATAACTTCACTGTGGGAGCAAATGGTACCAAACAGCAGACGAAATCCATTCCAAGAATATATTAATCTTAATTGGAAAAAACTGAGCATTCAATATTTATTCTCCATGGATACTAAAAGAATCTCGGAGCAGAAAGAGAAATCTGTTTAGAGCTTACACTTCAAAATTTTAAATTGACATTATTTTCTCATACTATAGTAAGTCCTAATTACTTTTCTTGAATCCTCCAGAGCAGTACTGATCAAATCGTTCCAGAATGTTCAAATTCCATATAAAAATAAAAGCAAATTTACCCTCACCTAAAAACAGTATTACTAATTTAATAACTAGAGTTTAGCTGCCTTGTAAAAAGGAAGCACAAAAGACCTACAAATACCTTTCAAAATAAAAAGCAGTTGTTGTTAAACATGATGGCCTTAAAGTCCAGGCACGCCATTCCCTCAATGGCTCTCATCAGCTGCCACAGGGTGTAAAAGGGTTCAACCCACCAAATTTGGCCAGCGAGAGAATCATTTGTTGCTGGCCGCACCACGCAGATCTGCCAGAGTGCTTTTGCTCCCATATTTGGCACACAGGATCGTCCAACCTAAATAGCATTCTCCTATCCGATTTCATTTCACATCAGAGCTTTCTCTTCAAAGCATTTCTCTAACAATTCTACATTCTTACAAATATGAATAATCCCAACGCACGGCAAACCAAAGTATACAGTCGGGCAAACTAAAGTGGAAAATTAAATTATTGAAGACTTCAAATGCCGAAATGGGAAGAACCATCCAGTCCGTTCCCATTGTTTGAAAGATGAGGAAAACTCTAGTCCTCAGTTGCTCTATGAATCATGATTTTCTTTTAAAAAACCCCTCTGTATAGTTATGTCCAAATGATTCAAAACATTTCCAATATTCAAATGGAATTCTTCTGTCTCTAGAGTTGATCAAAGAGAACTCAGGGGCACCTGGAGATACACAGGTTCTGGGCTACTTGATCTGTTTTATATTTGGGGTTCAGCAAACATTTCACTTGAAGAAGGACTCCTGGCTGGGGATTGAGCTCAGCAGTACTGCACCTGCCTGGCAAGCCCAAGATCCCGAGTTTGATTCCTGGTACCAGAAAAAAAGGAGGAGGAGGAGGAGGAGGAACCCCACTACTATAACGAAACTAATAAATGTACTCTGGATACTTTAGTCAACTCTGTCATTTCTGCCTAATCTAAACTTAGGACTTTTTCTTTCTAAGCAGTCCCAATAGCACTGGGGCTGATGACCCAGCCGCAGGAGATCTGGTGCTGTGGCCCTCAGCACATCCGGAAGTCTCCAGAGCAGGCTCCGGCTGGGCTGGTTGCACCAACCCCCACGGTGTCATTCTTGATTTTCCAAACTAACCAAACTCAGCACAAGCAGAGACATCAGGCAGTGGCCTGGGAACCACAGCCCCAGAGCAAAGCAACTTCCTGCGGCTTTTACCTCTGACTGGGAACATGTCGCCTCTCCAGGCACAATCATGCCTAAAGGAAGCTAATAAGCCCACGTTTTACCTACTCGGCACTGGTGTATCACATTTCGGTTCTCTAAATATTTGGAAAGAGCAGCAAAATTTCTCAAAATAGCATCTGAAATGCAGGCTATTCCTTTTATGGGATAAATATTACCAAAGTTATTAATTTGAAATCAACTACTCATATTTTAGCTTAGTGTGGGGAGGCCCTCGGTTAGACCCCCAGTACCACAAAAAGTAAAGAGACAGATGTAGATGTATAAATTGATAGAATCAATTATTTATATTCTATTTTTAATCACAGAATAAGCCTTTTCTTAAAGAAAATAACCATTGGGAAATCTTTCTATGGTAGAATGACTTATAGACTATAAAAAAGTTGGACACATTTATTTCTGTGGTGGACTTCTAAATGTTTTCCAAAGGTAAAATTTTAAATCATCTTTTAAAAGATTTGTAAATCACATTACAAAGCAATCTGAAATGCAAAGGTTAGAAGTCTAAGAAAATAAAACATTTTACACCTATCTCGTAAGGATACAAGTACTTAAAATACCTTATTATTATACATATGTTCTAGTATTTTGAACTTCTTTTACAAAGAATCAAGTAAAATACTCACAGTTACTTATCACACCTCCGAGTGGATCACCTTTAAAGTCAAATTCAATATCCATATATTTGCCCTGTCAAACAAAGAAAGATTTGGTGAGTTTTCAAGTTCAACTCAGAACAGTCAGTGTATCAGAGAAGAGAAAACAAAGCCCTTCTTCTAGTGCATCTGTTTAAATGTAATTAAGAAAGGCAGTTCATGCAGCCACCGGGGAAAACAATAAGCCTCCATAAATAATTCATACTAAATTTTCCTTTTGCTCAAAGCAAATCTATCCAGTTGCTAATGTAAGAATAGATCTTCCATCATGTAACTTTTCCATTTCAGAAAAGGGTGTGGATACTCAAATTAAGAACGAAATTGCGACCATAAGTGGTCTTTTCATATGTACTGACTAAGAGGAGAAATCATCTTATTTTTATAAGCAAAATATGCTGTAAACCCTGGTTACAAAGTCCAAACATGCCCTCCACAAGGGACACAGGAGGTGAAGTTACCACAGAGGAGGGCAGCAATGGCACCCTGTCCAGGGGGGCAGAGGGTGGACAAAGGCAGCCCAAGGACGCAGAGTGCTCATGAAGGTGTGACAGGCACGGACGGGGACGGGGACAGGTGTGGCAGGGGATGCATGATTAATCCTGTTCAAGGGCCCAGATGATGATGACTTTTTTGAAAGTAACCCATGGCCACACTAACAATGGTGGAGCCATGTTTTTTTTCCTTTCCATTTAAATTTATTGGTACATTTAAGGTAAACAATACAGTTACATTCATCATTAGGATCTTGTACCTTTACATAATGCATCTTGGTTCTCCCCTTTTTATTTTTTGATAACTTTTTTGCAGCAAAGGAGAGATTTGAGGAGAGTCGAGTCACCACTGCTGAAGGCGTTTTGTGGGTGCTAGAAATTCTTACTGAGTGAGATGCTAGGTAATGACACTGGCAGGTTCTCTGCTACACTGCCCAGAGTCTGGCTCAGCCATCCACACACATCCTGCTCAACATGCTGCCCCTGCCATTTTGAAGGCCCAGTGGGCAAAAGCAAAGCCTTCAAATACCTGCTTTTTTCAAGAAGTTTAAGAAAAGTCTAAAAACTTCCTTCTTGCCAGGAGCAGTAGCTAGGGCTCACCTATAATCCTAGCTCTCAGGAGGCTGAGGCAGGAGGGTCACTGTGAAGCCAGGGTGTGGAGTGAGTTCGAGGCCAGGCTGCACTACACAGTAAATTCAAGGCCAGACTGAACTACACAGTGAGACCCTATCACCAAACAAAACAAACAAAACAATAATAAAATAAAACACAAAAAGCCCTTTCTTAAAACAAGTTCAATATGTCACACCAGCACTGATGGGGTGGAGGGGGACACGGTAAGGCCCCTCCGTCAGCACAACAGTGTCACATGGCTCACTCAGTTTCTCAGTGTAGAGATCAGGAAATTCCTTGTAGGTTAACCTGACAGTCAGAGAATCTTCCAGATCCCCGGAGGACAAGTACAGACTTCATAAACCACGGCCCCTGCAGCAGTAACTTCAAACGCAGCAGAGGACTAGTAGTATACAAGCATATTGTGCATTTGGGTGGATCGCTAGTCCAGTCACAGATCACAAAGCGGAAAAATTACTAGAACCTGGGCATGGAATGATGTAGTCTAGAATCAAGTGTTAATCGCATACCCTAAGACCTGTGCTATAATAGGCTTTCTCTGAAGCTACTTACTAAGCTAAATCACCCGCCACGCCTCCAACCGGGCTTCAAATATTCTTAAGTACTAATGACTTCTTCAGGGTATCGTTTTCTGCGTTTGTACCACCTGGAGACTAGATAGAGTCGGTATATGTTTTAAGAGGTGTGTGGTGCACATAATTTGCAAACAAAACAAAATCTCTATCACATAAAGAAGCTTGATCACTGAAATTACTTGTCTGCCCACACCTCACTCTCTTCATGCAATGAGATTAGCCAGGTTATCACAACAGGAAAAGGCATGGATCAAGTCGGTTATAACTGAACAGGCTAATCCGATGGAAAAATTCACAGCCTGGGAATTAGAAACGTATTTAGCACTCCACTTTCTAAGCCATCAAAAGCACCTCTACCTGAGGTCGTTCCTCTCAAGTGCCAGGTAACCTACTAAGGAGAAGGTCAAAGGGATCTGCAGGGAAAGGCTCTCCGCAGCTCAGGACATCCAGTGGCCTTGGCTTCCACTCCTCCCTTCCTCTCTTACCCATCTCACGGATGTCACCACCAGAAAGCTTAGGACACCGCCTGTTCCGCTGGGCCTCGCAACAAGGGACGGAGATGACACAGCACACAAACCTGACACTCAGTATCTCTTCCTTTTTACCTAATTTCTGATTCATTTCTAAAAATTGTTTTAAAATTATAGGAAATAAGGGATAAGAAAAAAACCTGAGAAAACGAAAAAATGAAAAAATTTTTGTAAAGGGAGGAGTGGGTGAAGGGAGGGCAGGGGAATGGGGAAAAAGTGAGAACCAAGACCTGTTGTGTAAAGGTACAAGATCCCAATGACGAATGTAACTGTACTGTATACCCAAAATGTACCAATAGACTCAATGAGAAAAAATAAATAAATAAACAAACTGAAACTCAAAGTTACGGTTTTAATGATTAACCCTACCAGCCTGCATGGTCCTAAATTGGCCAAACTATCACTTCCACCTTTCTACACTGGGCAGGATTCTAGAGAGCATTCGGAAATACTGATTGTGTCAAACAGGTGCCGATTATCCATGAGCAACAGAAGTTCTGCTGCAGTATTGTAACAATTTGGGAAAAGAATCACAGCTTTTTATCAATAAATTGTACATGAAAATGATTTACTTATATTTCCATTTAGGCTTACTAGAAATGAATATAGTGCATGTTTTTCTAGAGGCTATATTAAACCATAAATTTAAGAATTGTAATAAAAAATAAAATTCTAGTTTCTTAGCACATGAGTATAGTACTTACTGTCTGCATTCCTTGTGGGAAGTTAGGACATGGACAGGACACATCCTAATTCCATTCTTCAAACCCTTTCCCTTCTCTCTCTCCCCCTCCTTAATCTTTGATTCTTAATTATGACTTCTAAATACCAAAAATCACATCAGAAGAGCTATTCTAAGTAGCCTCATTTAAATCTCTCATGGAATTTTATGTCAGAAAGCTTGATAAAAATGGCTTGCCACGCCAAGAATTTTTTTTTTTTTTTAATCAGAGAAAGCAAAAAAGAAAAAAAAAATTAGTCCTTCTGGAAATTTCAGGGACTTTGTAGGGATGGCCCTGTCATTTTTAAAATGTGTGTATTAAGAAATATTAACCATCTATTAGCTGTTTAAACATACACAAACTAAGCATCAGTATTAACACTTAAGCTTACACAAATACTTACAAATCTAGAAGAGTTGTCATTCCTTACAGTTTTGGCATTTCCAAAAGCTAGCAAGAAAGAAACAGATGCAAAATTAAGTTGACAGAAAAAAATAATTTCAAGCTAAAACATAGTACTTAAAACTCTATCATTCCTGGCAAGTAGAATTTGCAGCGAGGACATTTCTGCCCCCCAAGTTTCTATAGAATCACACTGAACAGAAGTCTCAATAAGTTGCTAAACTCCCATGTCTTACAAAAGTCACAGAAAGAGAGTCATCGCTATGAAAAATGGAATCTTTTCAAGTATTACTATAAACATAACCATTCCTGATTCAACCTTTTAAAACTCTTTCAGATAGGAGTCAGGGGTAAGTAGGGCTTCCATCCACCCACCATCATCAGTGAAAAGTTATCGCAGATTTAGTCGCAAAGCTTTATGGAACTGGACAAGGTTTGCAGATCAGAGGGTGGCATGCGAAGCTTTCAATTGTTTAATTTAAAAATAAAGCTATTTATTTAAATGTGTTTAATTATATAACTCCGCAATGCAGAAATGACAGTCACTTCCAAAAGGCGAAAAATACTAGATTCATTAGCTTATGTCCACGAGACTGAGGTGAAACTAGAAAACCAGACTGACCCAGATGCAAAATGCACATCGGTTCCGATCTGAGAGGCTTCAAGGAGACAACTGTGCCACGGAAACCACTCTTAGAGTGGGGCTACATGAACCACAGGCTGGCGTGACAAGCGCAGGGGCCCCGGTTAGCACCAGGGACATGTGACCATAAAGGACTGTCCACCAGGCCTATGCGCCAGACAGGGAACCGACAGGATTAAGGATGCAGCAGTACTACCCCGTGCACACACGTGGAGCAGATCCCCGGCTGCGCTTCACACACTGAGCTGTGCACCACAAGCTTTCAAGCAAATCAGTGGCCTGAGGAGCTTGGGAAAGCACTGACTCAGGTGCAGTCTGGGGAAGCACAGGAGAGTCTGCATTTCTACCACGCCCCCATCCACCGAGGCTGCTGTGGAGACCAGGGCCCACACTGTGGCCGGTAAGGTAGAATGTACGACACCGTGGAGAGCAGAAATGAATCTTCTTGATACAGGGCTGGGCATCCAATCTCTGGATGCCTCTGTGGACCCTTTGAGTTAAACGGGTAAAAGAGGATCAGAGGAACAAGCACCCATCTGAGCACCAACGGCTACAAGCAGCCACCTGATCGAGGAACAAAGAAGTATTAACAGAAGTTAACTTAAGACATTCAGCAGCCAGACCTGGTGTTTGCGAAATATCACATGATAGCTGATTTAGGTTTCTGAGTTAAAAAGCAGTTCACTCCAGATCAGTTAGGGCAAGATTTACAACGGCAAAACAGGAAAGTTTTTGGCTTTAGAGCAGCTACTTGGGATGGGAATGGTTTGCCAGGTTCCTGACAGCAAATCCTCCAACAGGGTGCTGGATACTAGGCTGCATGCAGAAAGCTGCAGACTGGAAATTCGCAAGAGGAAACCCGCTGGGAGGACCCCGTCCTGGTTCCAAGTCAAAAGGCTGCTTTGAACACAACCACTCAGACAGTGGCACTTCTCCTGTTGCCTCCGGCTCCCTTGTCAGCAAGTGTGGAAATGTAGGGTGGACGAGTTAACAAATTCGCACAGCCTCAAAGTCCAGCTCGAGAAGCTGACAAATAAAGGACAGTTTGTTGTGACTTGAAGGTCAAGGGCAAGCACAGGAATTGCTTCAAAAGAACTTGATTCAGGGCACCATTTGCAAGCCATAAACCATCAGACCAATCTGAGTTGCACATTGCTAAACACAACGCTAAACACTGAAGTCTTTTATTGTGAGCCACAGAATCAAACACAAGTGTTCCATTATAGACCACTCCAGACACATTCCTCAATTGTTTTTTTAAAGTTCATTGTTCGAAATGTTCATTTACAGTAGCAACTCCAGTTGAAAATGAAAGCATTCCCATAAGAGATCCATGCCCACAGTGGACATTTCTCCCATTTCCTGCACTGAAGCCTCGTTTCAAACACCACTGAATACAGCACCAGATTCTAGTCCAGCTAGAGCATTCCACAGCACTGCTCCTGTAATCCCAGCATTCTTAAACAAGCATATGCAGAATACAGCATGTGTAAAAGCAAAAGACGGTAAACACACAGGCAGACCTTGGTACAATAAAAGGAAGATCCTGTTATTACTTTCTTGGGCTTATCATGGTACTGAAGGGAAGAAAGATCAAAACAACACAACAGAAGATGTGGCTTTTGCTTTTGCTGCCCACCCTACTCCCTCCCCCACCTCCCTGCAGAGCTAGGGATTCAACCCAAGGCCTCATGCACGCTGTCCCGCCCTGGACATCTCTGGACGGGTGGGACATCCCTGGACACACAAACTAGGTGCCAATTGTGCCCTTGGCCCTAGAAGTTGGGGTCAGAAACCCCTGCATCCATTGCTGACTTTTCCTGGGGAGTCGAAACCGTACCTCATTGGAATCTCTGGGCTAGAGAGGCAGCTTGGTTCAACTCCTAATTCAAAGTCACAGGACAAGATGTCTCGGGATGAAAGCCGACTCCTCTGGGGAAGGTGGTCAATGCCCCCACCCCAGGGGAGGAACAGAAGGCTCCCCGTCGTCTTTGCTCCTCAGCCCCAACCCCTCCCCTTCCCTTCCTACACTCACTCTACCCCAGACACACTTCCTCGCTTCTGCTTCTCCATTCTATTCCAAGGACAGCAAGCTACCTGCATGCTCTCTCTGGTGGTTAAGGTAAGAGAGGAGCAAAAAGGGCTGGAATGTAGCAGAGAGCACTCACATGAGAGCCCGGGGTTCGATGGTGGGGGGTGGAGAAACAGACAGCCAGCCAGACAGACAGGAAGAGACAGTGACAGAGAAGGAAAAGGCCAAGTTATCTATTGTGTGGTCTCTGCCTTTCCAGCCCTCTGCCCTGCAGGCCAGCCCTGTACCACAGACATATCCAGTTCAGTAGTCCTGCGGTTCAGAAAGTCCCTGTGCCAGCACAAGTGTTGTAAATGACAATAAGGACAAGCCTAAAATATGAACGTAAAGGCTCTGACTTAGGGTTCCCAGTACAAAGGTGGTTCATGCCATCCTTTGCTGAGTTGAGAGACCTCATCTCCGGCTTCACTGGCCGATGGTCTGCAGCCCTCCCCAGTCACATGCTGAAGCTCTAACCCCCATGTGATGGTGCCAGGTGGAGCCTTTGGAGGTGACGAGGGTTAGATGAGCTCATGAGGGCACAGCCCTCACAGAGGCATCAGTGCCCCTAGAAGAAAGGGCCCAAGAGCTTGCTCCTGCTCTACCCCCAGTAAAACATGAAGAGCTCGTGAGAGCACAAAGCAGTGACAGCCACATACACACCAGAGCAAGGGGCTTCAGAATGAAACCCACCTGCCAGCTCCTGGATCTTAGGGTTCCAGCCTCCAGAGAAGTAAGAAAACAGATTTCTGTTCTCTAGGCCATCGGGCAAGGGCTCCTTATTAGGGTAACACAAGAATGGACACCATGAGCTCCACAGGCAGGACAAGGCTTTGAATGGCCTGAAAAAACTGGTCCTTAAGCACTTCTTGACAGCAAAAATCACCACCCACTTGGGCCAGGGATTTGGCTCAGTGGTTCCGCCACCTGCCTGGCAAGCACAAGGACCCGAGTTCAATCCCCGGAACCAAAAGAAAAGAAAAGGAAAAAAAAAAAAAGTCACCACGCATGGGTGTTACCTTGAATGGTAAAATAGTACTGTACCATCCCTGCAAATATCAGCTGTTTTTGTCTTTTGTTTTTGTTTTTAGCAAAATCTAAGTAATTCACAGAGAGAAATGGGATTGTAATTGGGAATGATCCTCTTCCTAAGTAAACTGTTCCCTGCCTGAAGCATTCCGAAGACACCTTTTCTTTCCTCAGTAGGTTTTGGCCTGAATTTTTTCCATCCTCTTCCCACCTATGGGCACACCAGGAACTTGAACACCCTGAAAGTGGCTCCCTTTTGGGGGTCACCGTGATCCAGAGGACACAGAGGAGCCTACCTTCCAGGACTGGGTTGGACTGCAAGAGCTGTTCTTTGACTTGGTTGACTTCTGCTCCTTTTCCACAAACAGCTGCCACATAGGACATAACCAACTTGCTGGCCTCTGCAAATGAAAACAAGCCACGTTATAGCCAACCTGACGTACACTGCAACAAGCCTTTTGTTGCGGGGAAGGGAGTGAACCTGGGGGAGAAGGCTCACAGTGTTTTCAAATGCCTTTATATCCAGAAGTAATAATGGAAGGGGAACTTCTTTTCAATGTGTGTGCTTTCAGTTGAATGCCAGGTTACTGAATCAGACAGGACAGGAACTGTGCTGGAAGGTTATCACCAGGCTGTTAAAAAAGACTGCCTAGTAACACAACCAACAAAACCTCAGGAGAACTGTATTCTGAAAGCAATCAAGTACAATCGATTACTGTACTAGAATTTTTACAGATGATTCAAGGCAAAAATAACTTGGCAACTTGGGCATCTTCACACCAAAGGTATTTCCAAAGTTTCAAAGAACTACTCTTTAAAATAGTTTCTAAATCAAATTGGTTTGCTCCCCATTACACCAGACTGATTCTTCTTCAATTCACTTCAAAAATTAAGCTACTGGAGGATCTGATCAATCCTATAGAACAGGGTTGTGTTCAAGGGCTTCACCAGCAATCCTCAAAGAGAAGCTGCTGAAAGACTAGGCCGCAAGAGGCATATTCTTAACTCAAACCGATGAGGTGGACAGAAGTGGTTTTTCCCTCCTTTATCAGTCCTTGTTGCCTCCCAGCCTCTGCCTCCTAGAACTTGATCCCATGAATGCTGAGTCCCAAGGTATGACAATAGGTATCCAAGGGAGAGGAGGTCTAGAGCCCAATGAATTTGGGGCCACAGGGGCGGAGGTGCAGGAAACATGGAGACTTCCACAGGCACATGTGCACTGTGGACTCTGGAAGGGACTCAGAAGGCTTGGCTTCCCCAGACTTATGTGCCATGGAATCTGCTTCCTGTTGGGCTATTCTGCTACAATGCTCCACCATCATGGGAGGGAACTCAACGATTAACTGTCGGCAGAATGATACACACCCTCGATTCAAGGAAAGGAAGCTCACCCCCCACCAAAATGCACTTCCTCTCAAGTCTCTGCGTTGGTGGTGGTGGCTTTGGGTGGCAGAGCCTTCCCCAGGGGCAGACAGTGGTGCCTTTGCCTTTGGTACACTGAGGCAACTCATGCTGCAGTAAATGCTAAGTGACTATAACACAGGTAACAGAGCAAACGAATGGCTGGAATGCCACTCTGGGACACTATGACCGCAGGTGCTTCAGGGCCTCTGAGCCCTGAAAAAGTCAACGAACAAGACACATGGAGCACCAAGAGCACAGGCAGGTCCACCAAGCTCTCAAGTCTTCAGATGATGGCTTTAGTGGTACAGCGCTCGCACTACGGTACAGGGAGGTAAATGATCTCATAGAGCCCTGAGAGCTACCGGAAGCTGGGTTCCCCTACGTGACTGGGCTCAGTCTCCCTCTAATCTGTTTTCTGGATAAAGCAAATGGGTCTATCTGTGGAAAATACGCAAATACACATTTTAGATGAAAGGTAAGTTTTCAACTGACAAGGAACAGAAAGTCCAGGCTGTTGGTTTTATTCTGGTAACTGTGGACCTCACACTTCACGGCCACACGAGCTCTTTGGAAATCCTGTTCTGGTCAGGGAGGAGGGTAGGGGAGAGACGACAACCCGTGATGAGAAGCTTTTAGCACCTGTCAGAACTCACTCGGCTTCCCAAGGGCCTTTTTCAGAACAGAACAAACTGGGATCAAGTTCTCTTAGGAAAATGTTGGAAAATGGCATGGGGGGGGGTCTCTTGGAATCTGGGTTGGGCTTTTATCACTTGCCCTTTAAAATGTATATAAACCACAATACCTACTGGTATTTACAGATCCTTCGATTTAAATTGACATTAGAAGTCACTTGTATTAACTTTAAAACATGTGAGCAACTATCATATAATTTTTAAATACAGTTCAAGGATATACTTCAAACTCTTTCACTAACATGTAATCCAAGTCGACAAGGAGTTATGTCCAGATTCTTAACTATCTTTAGGAATCTGTGTTACTGGGATCGTTTTAATACTTTATTTTTGGAAGCTGGGATTTAAGGTAATTTCCTTCAAGTAAAGTCACACTGTCTATAAAAGCCAACCCACTAATGGTTTCTCTGACACAATACTTGGATCTTTAACCATTCATGATATTGTACTACTCTAGCAAAGTGGTAAGGATGAGTTCAGAGGTCCAGCCCTGTTGAACAGACAGTTTTCATAATACTTCATTATGCTGTGAACAGGAAAGCATGGTGAGCTCAGGCGACTTTCTGCTTCATTTCCTTTAGGCTCTTCAGTGCTGAAGTACAAATAAATGTGGATCTGTATTCAAATGTTTATGTATTTATACAAATCAAATCTTCATGTACTACCTTCTATAACTGAAAACTGTATTTCTGAAGAGAATCAAGAAATGAGTATCATCCTTCACATTTCAAAGTCTAGCTTTTGATCAAGCTGCTAAATTGCTGGCATTTAAAATTGGGAAAATGGCCCATCTGTTGGAAACTGGATAAAGAAGATGTGGTTTTTCTATAAAATGGAATACTACTCAGCCATAAAGAATGAGAAATTAGAGTCATTCATAGGAAAATGGATACATATTGAGGATATACTCTTAAGTGAAATAAGTAAGTCATGCATGTGTAAATACCAAATAGTTTCTCTGGTGTGAAAAACTATAATAGTACCAAGATCCTAATAGTGTGAAATAGGAAGAAAAGGGCTAAAGGTGTAGGGAAAGTGGGAAGGGTAGGGGAAAGGGAATAAGGGAAAAGAAAAAAATATGAGAAAATGAAAAAAATGGAAATAAAGTGTTTGTAAAGGGGGAGGGGAGGAAGGGGTAAAGGGAGGGCAGGGACAAGGGGAAAAAAATGAGAACCAAGACCTGTCATGTGAAGCTACAAGATCCCAGTAATGAATGTAACTGTATTGTATACCTAGATTGTACTAATAAACTCAATAGAAAGAAAATAAAATTGGCAAAATGTAGCAGCACAGCTTAGACACAGTTTGTGGTTCCACACTCTGCCCAACTCACAAATACGTCACAGATGTAAATTTATGTACCCTTGTACATCTGAATGTAACTTGAATTTTAAAATTCTCCAGCAGCTGGACAAATAAAATATGAAACTGAGAGCAAAGATTCTTCTCAGCAGACAATGGTAAGACATTTAGGGTTAAACACACATCCTGCATTAACAAATAAATGACCTCTAGTGAAATATTTTTTGGATCAGAATATCTAAATCAGAATTAATCTGTACACAAAATGAAAGGAGGTTACAGAGGATCGTTTACGATCCTAGGGATCTTAAAGTCCTACAAGGGTAAGAATAATTCCAGCCTGCATTCTCTGGCACTCTGCCCTGGGTTTTGTATAATATATATGTTGTTACATAAGTATCACATAATCAGAATTATATGATTTAATGTATATAATTTTTTAATGAAAGCACTGTGAAATGGTAGTAGGCAAATAAAAAAGTAGAAACAAACATTTCAGTGAAAGCCTTCTATGATCTTGGGTACAAAAGTCTGGAAGTCCTACTCCTAAGAATCAAATCTATGTGTGTGAAGTTATTAAACAAGCTCCACATGGACTCAATCACTGTATGGGGTGGGTAGAAGAAGGTATCTGTCTAGGCAAGGTTTATTTTGAGCTTTTCCTTTTCCCAAAGATTCTAATAAATGTACCCAAGATTCAGCAGCAGGTTGCTGTGAACAGATTCAGGTACACTGGAACATCCTGTGTGTTATACACAGATCGTGTCACATGTGCCACAGAGCATTTAGAAAGAGCCACACACCATATACACACTGACGTTGTATGTCTCTCTTGCCTCTCTACATCTTTGGTTAAGACCTGCAGGTTCTTCTAGGGACCGAGCTTACACAGGTCTGGCGGCTCAGAGACCTGGAGTCAGAGACCTGTGCCAACTCGGCCATGTTTGTGAGCAGTGAAGTAAGTGCTCTGCACGCGGAGGTTCTCCCTGTTGGTGTGCCGAGCCCAAGGGCTGGTACACACTCAGACTGACCCAACAAGACACCGTGAACCGTTCAACCTGAGAACCAAGCTTGGGTCTCGCAGGAGAAAGCAGCCTTTGCTCTAAAGGCAAGTCCTAGCTGGTGACATGTTCACTGAAAGGACACTGTATGTCACCTACTTCTGAAAGAAGGCCACAGAACCTCAGATTCGAGTAAAACATGGGTCCGAAGGGGCCTGTGTCACACAGGGAAAAAACAAACAAAACTAGCTGCATCCTGGCCTTGACTTTCTGGACCGTTCCTCTTCTTGGTGGGTGTTTTCATCAGGGTGAAAGGCTCGTCCATGTTCAGGCTACGCAAGTCAGTGGCATCTCTGTCCCTGAAGAGGAGGGAACCATGGCTGACAGAAAGCAGGACAAGGTCGTGTTTAGAAACACAGGCCTTCAAGGCGGGCTGCCCAATGCTCCTCGCAGAAGGCACACGAGTTCCCAGAAACTGATGTCACTGCAGAGTCAGAAACCAAATAATTCTTGTTTTCTTATGTCAGGGCCTTCTGAGGTGTGGAGATTTCTTCTGATGTCCTTGGAAAAACCTAGTTCTGATGGTTCCCTCCTGTTCTGCCCCTCTGCCCCCAACTATGCTTTAATGGTTCGCCACGAATTTTCTGCATTCACTGAAGCGAACTGTGAGCTCACTGCCTAGAAATACTTGGGCACTTCTTCAAGGCATGATGCATTTTTTTTATTCAGCATAGCAGTGACGAACTGAACAGTACCCCGAAGGACTCAAAGAGTTCATGCCCCTCCCTAAGGGCCTGTGTTATACAACCCCGAGGCTTACGAGTGTCTTGTTGTTTAACACCAATACACCACCATCTGCCAAGTAGGCTTATGACCTAGTTAAATTAATTACTTCTTATAAAAATAAGCCCTCTGCCACTTTAAATGGTGGCTCTGTATCACCTAGTAAGTATCGATTATAAACGAAGAGGAACTCCATGGAAAGCTCATTTCAGGTCTTCAACAAATGTTGGTTCTCTTCTTCCATTTATTTTCTAACACCGAATTTTAGTAACTCAGAACCAAGATTGCTAAACTTGTGGGTAAGATAATTTGACATTTCACAAGTGGTCGGGCATCCCTTTTCCCTCAGAGTTGAGATAAAACCTCTCTCTATGTTCCTCATGCCACTGGGCTGAAATCGCCATAGTACCTCCCTCCTTTCATTCTCCGACAAGCAACAGAGACTTCACAATGCACAAATTTTAGACTTTATTCAGCCTTACAATCCAAGGACAATTTAAAAACACAGTCAAATTTGAAGCAATTTTTCCACCACTAATTGCAAAATTAAAGAAAGTCACAAAAAGATAGGGACAAGTCAGCAAGACAGGGAACCAAGAGGCAGAAAATGCTGCTGAGCTGAGATCTAACCTAAAAACAAAGACTTGTGGAGGAGCAGATCCCCACAGTGCAGTTGAGTCTGGTCCTAAAGGCAGCAGCTCTTGGGCGCTATAACCTCCTCCCAGCATCAGAGTCAAGGACAGAACAGACAGCCACAACATCGGAGGCTACAGTCCATCGTGAGACCCAGGAAACACAGCTCAAAGACAAGACAAATGCCTTCAGTGACGTGGGACAATGTCACTCAAAGGATGGTCCAAGGACCAGCTCTGCACAAGGATGGCCAATCCACAGCAACAGATGTGCGGTGCCTTGGTGCAGCACCAGTCCTGGGTGCTCAGACAGCATGAAGGCCCTGGACAGGAGCGTCTGTCCTCCAGCTTGTGACAGAGGCCACAGGGAGCCTGGGAGGAAAGGACCGGCGGGTGGGGGCAGATGGGGGAAAAGGATTCCAAGTGCTGTCTGTCTGAGGTACTAGACCCTAACAACAGGATAAATCACTGAGCAGAAAAACAGGAGAAAACTATGAAGCAAGGACAAGCGGTATGTACCAGAGTTGGGCCAGAGCACTGAGGTGTTTTGTTGTTTTCCCCCTCAGAAGGTATGAATGCCAACCCTCTAGAGCAGCACCCACCACCTCCCGCACGGAGGTTGCATGAAGGGAGAGGAACGAGAACGCAGCTCTGAGAAAAACCTCCCCAGACAGCGACAAGCTCATTCATGGGGACAAACCAAAGAGCTGGCCAGGACCACACACACCAGCAACTGCAGCCCACACCTTATGACTCATTCCAGAACAAAGCCATGCAATCCGAGCACCCTCCAGAAACACGTGCATCTGTCATCACGAAGATGGGGTAAAAAGCCAAAGGGTTTCAGAGACTTGGAAATATTATCACCTCTTCTTTCAGGTGAAAACAGAAAGCTAGGAGACAGGAAAAGGTAGGCTTGGGGACACAATGAGATGGGGGTAGGAGCTAATGAGACCCAGCAGCAGTACCCATGTTTTCTGGTAAGGGACAGCATTATCATGTGCTGTGCCTTTCCTTTCCTTCCCTCCTCTTAATTTTCAAAGCTGTAATTAGGTGTCACCAAGTAAAGTAACTTACTCCTAAGTTAGGCAGCAAAAGGAAAACACGTTATTGTTTTAAAGGTGCAAAAAGCAAGAGAATATAAACGTATTCCACTTCAAATAGTCTTTGCGTGGCTGGCCACCATTTCTTAGTCAACCTGCAGTCAGAGAAGCTGTTTTCCTCCTAAGAATTAAATTCACTTTACATGAAAGGACTGGACAGTGGCAGGGAGGGTAAAAGCATTCTCCCAAGATGCCTGTGTCCTGCTAAAGCTCCTACAAGTAAAAAGAGATCCAAACAGCTAAAGACCGGTTAACCGTGAAAGGGACAGGGCAGACGAGGGGAAACGGTGAGCCAGCAGGAAAAAACTGCCAAGGTGGCTTGCCCAAGTCTTCGAGCAGACACACACACACACACACGCGCGCGCGCGCGCGTGCGCGGGCGTGAAGAAACAGCCTGGCATGAGACACAGCCTAGGAATAGCACTGACAAAATGAGAAAAGGATGTGCGAAATACAAAAGAAACCACGATGACAACTAGGTTGACAGTGGTCTCGCTTACTGAAATCACAAAGTTCAGTTACAGGAAGGTGAGGATGCCGTCAGTGGCCAGTCTCCCTCTCTGCACCAGTGGGGACTCAAAATGTCTAAGCCCAACAGCATACAGCCTACAAACTGCAACAACTCAAACCCCAACTTTTGCACTGTAAAAGCAATGACCAATGAAATTTTCATCTAGAAAACAAAACATTTTACAGACAAACATGATGAAAACCCCTCTCCCCACCTCCTTCTTCTCTCCTGACTGAACAGCTCTGTCAGAGCCAGATGTGCAGCAGGGAGCTGGGCACCACGAAGAAACTCACTTTCTCACCCAGAAGACACACCGAAGAGAACGCTGTTGTCAGACACACAGCACAAGACACGTAACCCTTCCACAGGGAGTCTGTTTCACGGAGAGGACGCCAGACAAAAGAAAAGAAGAGGAGGGGACGGGAAGGGAGGAGGATGGAAGGGAGGAGAGGGGAGGGAAGGAGGGAGGGAGGAAAAGGGAAGGAAGCGGGAAGACTTCACAGCTGTAGGCATCAGCAGGGAAGTCGGGGTGGAGGGAAATGAAGCATTTTCTGATGCTGTCTCTCTCGTTTTCAGCAGTGATAAGGTGGGGCTGTACCCTCCCAAGCCAGGTATCTGCCGTCCTTGGAGAGGACCTTGAGAGAGCACACGGGCTTCGGCACAGTGGGGAAGGCTAAGCCTCCAAGCGCTGAGTGTGCGCCGGCAAAGCCCTGGGGTCCGGCAGGAGACCCCACACGGGGTAGAGACTCTGACCGTCCCAGCTCCTTCCCACGACAGGACGCTGCCGGCTGTCTCTAGCTCTGTCAGCAGCCCTCAAGGCCTCACCTGTCCTGTGTGGCTTTCACCTTCACTCACCTGTTTTTCCTGCTCCACTCTCCCCGGTGATGAGAATACACTGGTCTTTATCTTGATCTCGGAGGGATCTGTAGGCCTCATCTGACAGGGCAAAGCTGCAAGGGAGATGGAAGCAAAGCCTTAGAACTCAGACCCCTGGCGTGTGTGCTCTGGTGTGACAGGGTCTTTAAAGGTCACTCCAATTTGCTTTGGACAGCAAGCAAGACGTTTTACCATCTTCAAATTCTTCATATAATCAATAAATCCATCCCACATTGCGCTACGAACCAAAATGGAGCAGATTTATTACACTCTACAGAGGTCTCTATTTAACCCCGTGCTATCTGGATGGCTCTTTGTCATAAGATCAGGTAATTCAGATAACCAAGGAGAAAATGCTGCATATCACATGACTACAAAGGGGTGATGTTGAGATTTTTCAGGGTAACTCATGCAGTATCAATACAACAGGAAGAAGAAATCTTTCCAAACATTACCAAAAATGTTACCAAATTACCAAATAGCTGATGTTACCGTCATGAAGCTAAACCCAGAGCTACTGCCTTCATGGTAAGCGCTAGAAGCTCAGGTACACCGGCACCAATGGCGTTGCCATTAGTTCTTCTCCAGTCCGCGCTCTGGCTTCTCACCCAGCCTTGGGATGACAGGGCTCCCTACTAAGGAGGCCAAGCCAGTCCCTATGCAGACCCTTCCCTTCTCAAAATGTGCTAGTAAGGTCAATCTGCCTCTTCTAGCTAACTGAAAAATACTCTGAGAACAGATAGTGTATTTAGAATAGGTAAAGCTCCTCTCAATGCACTCCTTGCAAGTACTTATTAAGAGTCTACCATGTGTCGAGAACAAGCTGGGAATGTACAGACAACACTCAACATCTTTCAGGAGTGCTCAGTCACAAGTAAAGAAACAACTAGGAAATGTAGTCAGTGAGTCCAGCGATAAAAACAAATGCAAAGCATTGCCCAACAAGACAAGGAGCTCCCTGGATCTTCCCTGAGGTGGAAAAGACGGTCCTGAAGAATCAAGCAGCAAGGCGGACGGCTCTATGGCAGAACACAGGCTAAGATACCATGGTGGTGAAGAGCTATGGGCACTGCTGTGTTTCTGGAGGGCAAAGTATGAGGACCAGGCATGAGCAACGTTCTAGAGAGACAGGTGAGTGAGTCTAAATTAAGCAAGGAGGTGCTCCCACCCCTCATCTTGTCCGAAGACATCTTGTCCCATGTCAGTGTGGCCTTTCGTGTAACAAGGAAACTCTAAGTGCATCTGATGGATGAAGGCATGAATGAAGGAAGGTCAGGCAAAAAGAAAATGTCATGAAAGTAAATGTCTTTTGCGAGTAACAGCAGTTATGGCTTTTTCATCTGGCCCGTGCCCGGGCATCTCTTTCTGCCCCTCAAAGCCTGATCACCCATTCTCTACCTAACCAAAGCCTTGCTCCAGACCCCCGTGGGCTCAGAGGCCGGGGCCTTGGCTGGTGGTCTCTGAGTCCCAGGTAGAAGCGAGCACCCCATTTTGGACACCCCTGAGTAGGGGGACAGTGAGGAAAGGGGAAGGACCGGCAGCTCACCTGCTCCACAACTGTACTAGCTCCTACCAGAGTATAAGCTCCTCTGGGACACGGGCTTCCTATCCAAGCGCTCTCTATCCACAGAGAACTATACATAGAATATAGAGCATAAAATGTATATGCAGCCATGCATACAATGTAATCAATGCCATCATTAGGGATGAATGAGTGGATGGATTCTCTCCAGGTAAGGGCAAAGCCACTACAGGAGTGAGCTCCAAGAAGCACAGTAAACATCTGGAATTTGACCTCTTCTAAGACCTTCCTATAGGGAAGGAAAGCACTGCTTGGGTTTTTTATTAGCCTTCCTCCCATCCTACCAACTTCCTTCTATCCGGTAGTTCAGACACCACTCTCAGAATCATCTTCATCAAGTGGTGTAGAAAAGTACATTACAGCTGAGCTCTTCATGGACTGTTGAGTGCAGGCTGTGATCCATGTTCCTAGGACTTCGATTTACCTTTATATTTATACTAGATCCAGAGTAATGGAAAATTACTTCGAACCTGAACAACCTCATAGGACATGTGCACACACGAATACACAGAGAGCCGACACCTGCCCAATGACCCTGCCTGGGTTCAGTCCAAGTCAAAATATGGGAATTGAACACTTTTATTTTTTTCTTTTCTGTCCACATAGAAATGAAGTCATCTTTTGGCAACCATGGGGCTGGATCCAGCACCTTTCCCTTTCTTCCACTCCATTTCCCTGGAGACCAAAATCAGGGAATGCTCAAGCCCCTTCTGTAAAATGGCTTAGTATACAACCTATTACACATGCTCCTGAATGCCTCAAATCATCTCTGGATGACTTGTAATACCTAATGCAAGGGAAATGCCATGTTAACAGTTGTTATACCACATTGTTTAGGGAATAATGACAAGAGCAGAAAGTCTGCACATAGTTAGTAGTTTTTTTTTCCTAATATTTTTGAACCACACTTAGCTGAATCCCTGGATACAGAAGCCAACTGTACTGAACTATTGTCTCCAAAGACAGGGCCCGACTCTTCTCATAGAGAGAGATTCCCAGCAGAAGACAACGGCTAAGAGAGGATTTATTCTTTTGAGACTCTAGAGAGCCACTGATTGCAAATGGACATGAAAATTCACCAATGAAAGTACTCTGGCACTGGGAAACCTCAAGTGCTTTACTGACACACTACTAAAGGAGGATAAATGCCATCCCACCTACTTCTTACAAACCCAGAATTAGACTTTGCTTTTCGGCTTTTGAAATGGCCCACAGAAGGACCCCAAGGAACATAAGCCCCCCTCTAGATCTAGCTTCTCTCCCTCCAGGGCAACATGAACTGCAGCCAGGCCCAAGGCTAACGTTTACCTCTATAAACTGAAACCACATGCCGGTCCTCCAAACCTCTCTATAATTAAGGAATCTAAATACATCTTTAGAGAAGTCCTTAGTTGAAACCAGTTGTGATCCATGTGCTTCTCATTATTTTGTGACCATGTCAGCACTGCCATTTACCACACAGAGAAATTAACGGTTAATTATAACATGAAGACGATAGCGTCAGGGAGTAGGCACGGGCTCCGTCCCGCCACACCAAGCGCCAGTCTGACCTGCTAAGTCCGTCTTCCAGTTGAGCACAGAAAAGGGGCAGCCTGGTGTCTCTGTGCACCCCCTCTTTCAGGTCGGCTACACAGCCGCTCAGAGGGACCCCAACATCCCCAACACCACGCGTGTCCATGGTGTGCTTCCCAACAGCTGTGCCCAAGACTTCGGGCCTCAGGAGGCTGGCCCGGGGCTCCGCTGTTACTTTCTGCCATGGTGGAATGTGGGGATGCATGCTCCAAGTGCCCAGCTAGTATTTATGTTCCTCTGGCATCTTCCTCTGCTCAGGGTGCTCATCACAGCGGTTCCGCCTCCATGCTCACCAGACGATAGCCGGGCTTGTCTTCCCAAACCTCATGTCCCCACCCTGACATTTCCTTGCAAAGCACAGAGGTTTGCAACACCAAATACCTCACCCACTACCATGACCTAGAGGGTCCGCTCTCCCCAGCACAGCCCCCCTTCAGCCTCTCTGGCTCTTCCCTAGTGAGTCACCGAGAAATCACCCTTTAAAACACGATGAGTCCATCCTGAGGACTGGTAGTGGGCTTGCTCGGTTGGCCAAAGTGTTCAAGAGGAAAAAATAAATCCCAGGTACATACCTGACTCTGCCCCTTTGTTTCAAATGTTTTTCTTCGAAAGCTCTCAAACTGGTATTCCCTTTCATTCAACTCTGAATTCTAAAGCACTTTCAAAATCACACAAGGGAAAATCCCTTTCTGAACTCAACCTTTTTGGGATAATTCAGTCTCAAATTTCTTATCTACAACTGGGATCAACAAACCTTGGCTATTTCTCTTCCCTTTTAGCTCTGGTTCAGTCCCACAAATTAAATAAGCAAAAAGAGTATGTTAAAAAAAAAATGCCAAAGCTCCTCATGCTTCATGGACTCTAAGTCCATACTGAATCCCATCAAGGGCCGCGAACCCAGGATGGGAGGACAAAGAGATATTTGGAGGGAATATTTTATTTTGTTTTCTAAGGAGACTCATTAGGGTGAGCCTCCCTTGTAAAACATTTTGCAGGTATCTCTACATCTTACAAATGCCTCACACTCTCAATTCAAAAACAAACCTTTGCCCGCATGGAAAACATCACTGTGTCAACCAGTGTGCTGTCCTTGCACCAGACTTTCGTGCTATCCCATCTTAGGGAAAACTTCAGGGTGCAAAAGTCTTCCCAGCTATTTGTGCTTTTAGCCTGGAAAGCACTCCTGCAAGGAGTGCAAGGAAGGCAAATTAACTTATTTACACAATACAGCTACCTCCCTACAGCCAGGGCATCTAGAACATTCCTAAGGGCCCAAGTCTCAAAGCAGGAAAGAGAGAATGATGTAAGCCTTTTCCAAATAAATAACTGTGGGCAAAATGTACACTATGAACAAGTAAGGAGAGAATGTGAAAACAAGCATCACAATGAGCCTTGGGCAATGGACACTATATGCACATAAAGGGTTGCAGGGTTTCTATGCTTTACATAAAGTGGAGCAGTACAAACACTGTATATTCTGAAGAGTAAAAGAAATGTATAATTCCTGTAACCACCACCACAAGAACAACAAAAGGGCTCTAGGGAAAATAATGAGAAAAATTAAAATGGAGTCATAAAAAATTCAAATAATCCAAAAGACATCAGGAAACAAGGAACAAAAATAGAGGGGCAGACAGAAAATAAACAATTACGTAGGAAACTAAGCCAACCATGTAAAAGAACTCACATTAAATGTTAATGGACCAAAAAACAAAAATCAGTTAAAAGGCAGGGCATATTAGAATGGATGTAAAAGCAAGATTCATATACACTGCCTATACAAGTCACATTTGAAACCTACCATGAAAAAAACAACTGCTTTTTTTTTTTTAAAGGCACTGTACTTTTCTTTTTATATATCTAAACCCAACGAAACCCTACCAAAATGAAGATGCTATGCTTGGGCATGACATATACCAT